CTACCATAAGCACTGAATGTGTCTTTGGAAATACTGTTCAAAAATTAAATGGAATGGGGCAAATCATTTTTCCCCTTTTGGAGCAATGTAAAATGGCCATCACAGTCTCTGAAATTAGAAGATTAGCACATTATACTCTCCCACCAGCTGTTCTAAAAATGAACCCTAGTGGAGAAGAGGTTTGCCACTTTCCATGTGCCAGACACACTGTAAGTGTTTTTGTGTCCTCTGTTTGTGTCGTAAACTGACAAGTGTTTTGTTTGTCCTGTAGTCATTCCAGGCCACATGCATCATGGTGGTTTGGCATCTTCTCCTGTTTGTCTGCAGGTATGACCTCTGTTGTCCTCATTCTTCCACTTGTTAAGAATCCTAAATTTAGAAATTCCTCTGAACTGTGGCTGGAAGTTTAAATTAAATATTTAAACCTAGAAGTTTCTAGTAGTAAGGAAATTACTTTTACTAGCTGAAGGAACTATGTACTTTGCTTTTCATCTTCTCCTTTTTTAGCTTCAATACAATTCTCGGTTTTGCATCTGTTTTTGCAAATCATTAGGACAGACAGGTGAGATCATGTTTCTCTTTAGAACCATGCCAATTAGCTTCCTCTGCACTGTGGGACAGAAGAACAGAAAAGCCAGATGAGACGGATACTTGCACGAAATGATATTTGTATTTATCTACCTTTCTGAGTGGATGTGTCTTAACTAATGAAGACCTGCCATGGTGTATTAGAGATAGGTGCTATTGAAACAGCTTATGCTACCTAAACTGTTAAGTACCATAAGTAATGTACTGATTTTATTTCCTAAACAAAGAATAGATAACCATTGCATACAGAGTGGGTCTGCAGTCCCAAAGCCATGATATTTGGCTTTAGGATGAAATTGGCACGAGGTGCAGGTGCTTAAAAACTCAAATTGTTGTAAGGGCACATCCTTTAATTCTTGCACACTTGCCCTTCACCAGCTCCCACAAAATAGTGTATCTTGGGAAATGAGAAGTAGTTGCTGGCAAAAAAAAAAGGCACAGAGAAGGTGGAGGAGGCACAACAGGCTTCTTTGTGCTGTAGGAAATGACATTGGATATCTTTCCTTATATGGCATGATGGGATTGGTCTGAAACTGTGCTGTCTGATCTAGAGACACGCATTTTAATGACTGTAGATGATGTCAGTTTGTACATCATCATGGGTAATATAGTCCAGTTAAATCACCCTGGAGGTAAAAGAGTCAGACAGCCATGCAAACAGTATAATTAAGAATACAGTAACTGGTGGATTGCCAATCCTGGTATGAATTTACGTGTACACCATCTGAGATCTTCCTCCAAGTACCTAATCCAAGAGAGGTGGCAAGAAGGAAGAGGGCCTCCTTAGTGGTAGTCCCCTAATTATGGAACAGTCTCCCCAAGTATTTTCTGGTGCCAGGTATTTTAGTATCAGGTATTTAACAGCATATGACAACAGTTTTAAGAGGTACTGGGATTACTTATTGTTGAGTGTTTTAATATACACGCATGCACGTGCACGCACACACACGGATCTGTGAGTGTTGTGTTTAAATGGTTTTACATTTTGTTACAATATTGTATTTTGACAGCTTTTAACCTCTGTAAACTGTCCAGTGAATTTTGTTTCTTGGGAAATATTTGTGTAGTGATGTGCTGTCAACATACTACATTCCTATGAGTGAGTGCTCTCCATGATGTCCTATCCTAGACAGCCCTGCTCAATTTTGATTTTTTAAAAATGTTAATAGGTCATGGTTACTACCACATTCTGCTCCTAGGCTTGCTTTGGCATTAAGAATACAGATTCCACATATCCTGCTTTCAGTTACATAATCTGTTTCATTTCTCTACTGGCCATCTGGTAATATCAGTATGTATAAGTTGTCTGTACAACTGTCTGTAGTATGTATTTGCAATAAACAGATTGTTGACTTCACAAAAGTCTATGAGTCATTTTCCTGCTTTGTTTCCACCCCCCAGGCCAGATTTTCACACATTTGATTCAGCTTTGCTTTTCACTTTTGCATTTGAGTAGCGTATGGTTATCAGCATGTCTTTTTTGGTGTGTTATCAATTTCCTCTTGGATGCTTGCTTAATGGTTTCTAGTTCACATTGATTCATACTTCTCAGCTTTCATGCCTCAATTGTATGTGTTGTGCAGTATTGGGTTTTCGTTTTGTGTCAGAGCATGACAGCCACTAGACTGCCTTTTGGTTTTAGTCTCAGTCACATCATTATCAACAGTGCTGTTCGTCCTTGCCCTTAGTCTTCCCCAGTAGCTGGGTGAGTGCCTTTCAACCTGGGCTTCTCATCTTTTGGCACTGTCTCTTGCTTTATTTTGGATTGTTTCATCCTAGGGTTTTAAAAGTGAGAAATGTTTAAAAGTGGTTTAGTGCAGCTGCCCTTCAGTAACAAATGAAATGAAGTGGAGGGGTGGCATTGCAGCATTTGAGTGTTTAGCTGAATGCTTGGACAACTTGCTTGAAGATTTCCAGGCATTCGGTTTTAATGCTTCAAGGGTCACTGCATTTTTTCGTTTGAGTTGTGGTGGCTTATTTAATCCAACCCATGGTGGTCTAACCATACTTTAATGAAACTGTATTAAAACATTTGTCTATGGTTGTACTGATAAGAAAATAATGCTTTGAAATTGTAAGAAAGAAAATTTTAAAATCACACCTTAAAACTGTGTCTCTTTTTTGGATTTTGCTTGTAATGCTCTAGCAATACCTTTAGTGTATACAACTTATAACTTTCAATCCCTTGCATCTAGGGGTATGGGAATTTTGTTGTGGTTCATCTTTTTCTCAAATTTGCTCTAGTTGCACCTTCTAATGGGAACATGAACAGGAGCAGATGGGGCAGGGGGAATCACATATTTCAAAATTTACATCCATGCTTGAAAATGTGCATTTTAAAAATAAACATTAAAAAGCCACCAAATTTTAATTGATTACTTTCTTGGGGGAAGTACACATTTGGATGCATGCTTCAAGAATATTGCGGGATACATACTTCTCCCATTGGAACACAAAATGGAATAGAAAAGTGGGAGTCAGGCAGACTCAAGATTGAGACAGAACATGGAGAGGTTTGATGAACTGGTTCCCCACTGGTCCTATCCCTATTTGAGAGAGTCAGTTTAGAAGCAAAATAGACCTCTCAGCCATCTGAGGGTTAGGGTGGATTTGATTTAAATCAAATTGATTTAATTGATTTAAATTTGATTCAGTAAGATTTAAATCATGGTTTTCTACATAATTTGCACAAATGCCTGGCTTACCCAAAGGTAGAGAGGAACTTCATTAAAATATTCTCAAACTGGATCTCTTTTATGGCTTCCTGCCATTATAAGTCTTCCTCAGGAAAAGAATAATATGTTAAACTCAGGCTATACACAAAAAGATCCAAAGATGTGTGTATTATTCTGCTGAAAAGGTTTCAGATTCATTTTTGCTGCTTGTCCCTCCCTCCTCACACTTAGCTTCTTGTGTGGTTCTATTCCACTCCCAACAATTTTCTTCTATTTAATGATTTTTCTTTTTACAATGTAGCACTTAGGAGGTAAGGAGATGATTCTGTGGACATAGATTTGCAAAGGAACAATGGGATTAAGGTCTTTTTCTCAACTCAATAAGTTTATTTTTTAATGTTGTTGTGAAGAAGAGACGTGATCTGTGCAGACACGAATTCACAGTTTTGAGAACTTTAAAACCAAGCATCTGTGATAATATCATCTATATAGAAAAACTGCCCAATAATTTTATAGAAATCTCTGGAAGAGAATATTGTTGTGAATGGACTCATGGAATTAACTTACCAAAAATTTTAAACATTTCATAAATATGCAGCCTCATGCTACATAATTAAAAACTAATCCTTATTTCATGATGAATAACCTTTGGACTATACTGTACCTTAAACAGACAACTATCTTTAAATAGATTTTTTCCTCAGAAAGTATTTTATTTTAAAAAATCCAATTAAATAAAAAATTGATTTAAATTAAAAATGGATTTTAAAAAAACCATTGATTTTTATCCATTCTGCTGAGGGCACAGAACCTCTGGTCTGGGGACCAGATTTGGCCCTCTGTGGGTTGTCCAAGTCTCCCCAGAAGTCTTACCCCTTTTTCCCTTGCCCAAACACTTTTCCCTTCAAAAAGTTGAAATGGCTATCCCTAATTACAGGTAAGAGTTTCACACAAACATATACTGGCATTTAGGGTTTTTTTTTTTTTTAAGATGAGCTATGGTACAGGATGTGGTAGGCAGGCAAACCCTTCCATGTATTAGGCAGTTTTACTTTCTGTATATTCTTCCATTTACAGGAAGGAAATCCTGAATTCAGCCCACCATTTGTTCCTTTTAACTCTACTTTGTATTTGCCAGATATTTTGAAATCTTCATTTAATGTTTTTAAATCAGATATTCTACCTTGTTTTAGTAGCCATTTTGAGACTACTAAAATAGAAAAGCAAGATATAAATAGAAAATAACTGAAGCTAGTTATAAGAATGGAAATTAAGAAATTGTTGACTGTTCTTGCAACAAATTAGCAAGTAACATCTTCTGGATATATGTAAGGTACAAAAAGGGATCCTTTGTATGTGTATTCAGAAGTAAGTCCCATTGAATCAATTGGAATTATTTCCAAGTAAGTATGTTTCAAATTGAGGTCTTATATATTCTAATTCAGGGTTTTTATGCCTGATTTTAAATCCTAATGTGAATTATTTTAAAATTTATTTTACTGGGTTTTGTCATTTATATGCAAAAGGAAAGAGTGTGGAATTGCCCTTCAAAGAAGCGAAACCCACCATTGTGATTGTGTGTAAAGGGAGGCAAATTCTGTTAGCAAAATTATGGAAAAATGCTACCTAATATCCATTATACACTAAGTGATAATTTATATATTATTATAAATTATAATATTATATTATTTTAAGCATTTATATTAAATATCTACTTTCCCTCTGCTTCTTCCATAGCTCTTGGATGCTCTGATTGTCGTATGGTGCTCTCCAACCCCACAGGAATTTTTACCTCTCCCTGCTTCCCTAGTGACTATCCCAATGGTCAAGCATGCAAGTGGACTATCAGGGCTCCTTCTGGATTCATCATTCAGATAACATTTGTCGATTTTGAGATTGAAGAAGCTCCCAACTGCATCTATGATTTTTTAAGACTACAAACTGGAGATAAACAAGTTACTTTGTGTGGCATCACTGCCAGAGGCTTATCATTTAATTCATCTGGGAATGAAATGATTGTATCATTTACAAGTGACTTTAGTATCCAGAAGAGAGGTTTCAATGCCAGTTACACTCGAGGTAGGTATATGATAGACATTTCTTCCTTGTCACTTCCAATAAGCCTCCAGTATATATGTTAAAAATGTTGGTACTTGTAAGATACACATCTGTGCTAAGAGAAGCACATCTTTAGTTAATTACAAGTCTCCTGTAATCTATAAATTACAGGAGTCTGGTTATTTTAATAGAGCTATTCTGCATTAAGTAAGAGGACTAACTTGGGTTCCATAGCCTGTAAGGACTGGCTTCTGCTTCAGATCTCAACTCTGCCATGAACTTACTAGGAGAAACTAAGAGGAGCCATTCTTTCTGCCTGAGCCCTCTCCCATGTACATTCATTGGATAATAATACAGACCTACATTAAAGGGTTGTTTGAAGGATTACAAATTGGAATGGGCTGACAGAATGCTGCATATCCAGTAAAAATAGGTTTTCCTCAAGGATTCCAGTTCGGTGTCAAAGCGATGAGTACAGCATTCAGAACAATACTTGAAGGGACTTCATTTGGCATTTTCTTTCTTTGAAGAAACTGCTGTCCTTCTTAGCCTCCAGTTTTTTCTTTCCTTTGGGAAAGAAGAATGGAGTGATACAGGTGATCTGAGGACAAATTCAGGTTGAGTATCCTGTGTGAGGTTGGACATGTTGCTTGCTGAGCAGGGCTGAGCAGGGCTGGATTTCTTTCTTAATTGTAATAGTGTTATATGAAGTACTTCGAACAATTCATAGTACTATATCAGTGCAGGCTAGAGTCAGCAACTTCAGGTCACGTTCTTCCCCATAGGCACGTTCAGTGTAGCATATGAAAAGTGCTCATAACACAAGAGTAGATAGGACTATGGAAGTGGGAAAAACATTGTATGTAGCAGGTTCTCTAGTCCATATGCACCAGGCTAGGACACAATAGCACAACAATTTATTTAAATACATATATTCTTCACAGAGATCAGATTAATATATTAACTGGTGCTCATTGCTAGAATAGGAATTCAAAGTATTTGGACAGTAGTTAGTATTATAATTTCATACATGGTGGTTGTGCTGTGATCATACCAACAGCTATGATTCAGTGTTAGATAATGTCTAATAAGGAATGTTTCTAGTAACTTTTAAGTCCAGTTCATTCATGGGCTGAGATTAAAGGTTTTGCTATAACAGAAAAATCGTCACAATTTTTAAGGGTATATATGATGCAGCTTCATTCTAAGAACAATAGGCATGTTGAGTCACAACTAAATGACCTTGTTCTTTAGTAACATTCAGGTTTTCCATGTGAAAAGTAATCATGGGAAGCTAAGATATCTGCAATGTTTAGATAGGATTATTTTTTTAAAAAATGGTGGCTCTGCATTGCTGCAAAACACTAAAAACACTAGATGAAATTGCATCTGCGGATACTGTGTACACTAGGCACATCCCTAGGATGTAACACATGGATTGTATACAGTTGCAATTCAGTTCAGTTCCTTCCTTCAGTTATCTTTAAATTAATGCCTGTTTTGGCCCTTTCTTATGGGTTATGGTCTTTACAGTTCCTTACTGAATAGGACTGTACTGTAAGCCACCTAGTCCTGATAGGAGAACTATGCCAGTTTTCTTTCCATTGCCCTTTGCAAGTTTTCAGAATCCTCTCATACATAAAAATGGGAGCAAAACTCCTATATTTGAATATGAAAAACACGCATATTTGGAAAATATTAAGAAATATTAATAATTTAAAAAGTTAAAATTTAACATTGATAAAACAAAATTAGTTCCTTATAAATGCAATTTTATATCTGTATATTTTTCATTTATGTATTCTTTGTGTATATAGCAGTCAGTAAAAGAAGTAACAGCTGTGATGCCTCAGAAAGATTAAAACACTTACGTATTAGGCAACCAAGGGGGAAATCTGTTCTTAATACTGACACCAGCATTCTGTTCTTTTCCCAGTTACTGATGCAATTGTTGTCCTTTCTCTCTTGATGAGCTCTAGTTTCAAGTCACTTGTAGCTCCAGGGTACCATTGTTATAGAACTGAACAGAGTTCAGATTTGTAGCCAATGTACTAAATGTTTTGTTCTTAGTATTTTTGAGACCTGGGACAAACAGATGGACTCTGAGTAGTGAGCCTGTTGGAGAATTATAATCACCTTATTTTGACAGACGTACAAATTTCCAAACTGAATTGAACCCATCCGTAAATGGTTCTTCCAGATTGCAGTAGAAGCCAGCTATGCAGATTAGCCATTGAAGGAATCACAAACCTATTTCTAGGGTAACATTTTAAGTTGAAAAGAAACAAGCTGGGCTGTTGTTGCTGCTGCTGCTTTGGGGCACAAAAGAAGTACTTAAGTGTGTAAACTTGTTGAAGGCCTAAAATTGGTTTGAAAAAAGAGAAATGCCTTAATGAATAAAGAAAGAACAAAATCTGCCAGAATTAGGTACTGTATTTATATTAGCTGAGAAGCAACTGAAAAACCCATGCACACCTGGTCCTGAAGAAAGATGCTAAGTATTATGAAGATTTCTAAGTATACCTAATCTCCTAAACTTTACAGTTACTGAATTTCTCCACTGAGTCACATTTGATATCACTGACATTTGAAGTGCCTTATTGTTGGCAATAAAGTGTCTGTCAACAAGACAGACAAGGTAGGAGGTGAACAAAGCATTGTTTTCCCCCATGCCGAAAAGGAAGAAGCTTGACTCAGTGGTAGAGCACATGTTTTGCATGCAGAAAGACCCAAGTTCAACCCTTGGCATCTCAGGTTGGGCTGGAAAATATCCGGTCTGAAACTCTAGAGAGCTACTGCTAGTCAATTATTATTATTATTATTATTATTATTATTATTATTACTATTATTATTCAATTTATATCCTGCCTTTTTCCTACAAAGGGCTCAAGGCAGCTTACATCTCCTCCTCCATCTTATCCCCACAACAACAACCCTGTGAGGTAGGTTGGGCTGAGAGTCTGTGACGGGCCCAAAGTCACTCAGCTGGCTCCATGGCTGAGTGGGGACTCGAACCCAGATCGTCTGAGTCCCAGTCCCATGCTCTTACCCACTACACCACACTGGGGCCAGTTGATATTAGATTTGACTCAGCTTCCTATGTTCCTTACATAATTTAAGCTGCCATCACCATGAAGAAGGGTCAAATGTCAATGTGCTGTACCAGAAGTACATTGTGCTACTAAGGGCAATGGAGAATTAGTTTGGAGAATTAGGCTTGTGTTTGCCCATTACTCTTCCTGCTGTAGCAACAGTCCATGTACAGATGGTAGAGTATTTGAACAGGTGCTGCCATATAACCACAACCCACCTTCTTTACCTGTCTTTGGTATTAATGCATTACAAGGTGCATTTTAGGAGATAGCTTCATGCTTTTGTAGTGACCAAGTTACAAGGAAATGCTGATTTTATTTTTGAAAAAATAATTAAGTAATAACATTTAAACAGGGTTGAAACCCTATGTATGAACACTAGGAAGTAATTCCCTATGAACATTTTGAGAATTTTATAGATAGAAAGAATTTTGCCACCAGGCTTGTGAATATACAATACTTGGCTTCTCGTATATTTAGGGGTTTTTTGGGGAAAATATGAACAGATTTATTCAACTGAAATACAAATGTTTGAAAACAAAGGGCCTTTATTTGGAAAATAACTTGGTAAAGGCATGCTGCACAATTTCGATGAATATATCTGGTATTCATTTCTTCAATGTAATGCAGCTATGCAAAACATGTCACTTGGGAAAATCCATGAGGAAAATTTCAAGTTACTGCTCTACCACATTGCTGAATACAAACAGATAACAAAAATACAATTTTTCAAGTGACTGATTACAATTTTGTGGGTGTGAAATACCATATTACATTTACAATGTGAGATGCCCTTGCTGATGTCAATGTTACCACCTACCTGTCAAATGAGAAAATGCAGTGAATTATTTTAAGCAAAGCTTTTTGTCTTTTCTGAAATACATTTTTCCTGTATTTTAGTTGCTGTGTCATTGAGGAATCAAAAAGTTGTCATCCCACAGTTCCTGGATGTTAATTATTTGACTCTGGCAAATTCCGTTCAAGTACCAGAACTTAACCAGTTCACGTTGTGTTTTGAAGCAACTGAAAACAGCAGCAATAGCCCTGACTGGAAGGCTTTCTCCTATGGTGATTCTTCATCTACAGAGTTTTTCAGCTTTGGAAAGTCAAAAAGGGGCTACTTCTTATCTATTTCAGACACAGAATGTACGTTAGATGATGTACTTGACACGGGCCCAAATGGAGAGTTCTTCACAGAAGCATTTGAGCAACTCTGTATTGCATGGGATAGCTTCTCAGGCACTATAGGTGTTAGTGCCAAGAACACATATGAAACAGTGCATTGTTCAGGTACTTCTGGAAAGGTCATTCCTGGCAATGGGAAGTTGGTTCTGGGTTCTGGTGGAAATCATATAAGACCTCTCAATGGGGATATTTACAACTTTCGGCTTTGGAATTTCACAATGAGCCATGAAGCACTTTCCAACCTTAGCTGTGATGTGAAAGGCAACATTGTGGACTGGGACAACGACTTCTGGAGTATCCCAACATCAGCACTAAAAGCAGAAAGCAACCTGAGTTGTGGTGAGCATCTTTTATGGATTTTTTTTCTCTTAGCTATGAACGGGGCACATGTCTGAAGGAAATGGCACATACTGAGAATGAGCTGAGCTTCCTACAGAGCAACCATTTTTCTTGGGCTTATCCACTTTGCCCATAGGATACATATTTTGCTTCTGGGTATATTCTTTCTCTGAATTCAGAAATGCACTGTGATATCCAGATTGAATTCAAGCTTTTCAAAAGAGTCAAAGATTTTGTTAAATGTTGGGTTTATTTCACAGTGCAGTATAAGCTTCAATCAATAAATAACTATGAGAAAGATCAATAAAAATTATTTGATCTTCTCCCTAGACTCTTGTATAGTTGAAAGAAAATATATAATCAGGGAAAATGTGTATCTGATGTGGGCTGGAAGAAATGGGTGCAGCAAAAAAAGAAGATCTCTGTATACAGAGGTAGAATGAAAGTTTAAGCCAGATGGGAGTCATGCTCAGAGCGTCATGATGTCATATGAATAGGCTTCAAATCAGTATAACAATAAAATCCCTGTAGTTATGAAATTAACAAAACTAAGTCAAAGGTCTGGTCAGTTTCACATTTGAAAAAGGGAACTGATAGTGGCATTTGAATGAAATATGCAGGGTTGACCCAAAGGTAACTGTGTTCTCTGAAAGTGGAAAAAGGGTCATTTTGCAGTTAGATTTCATATATTAGCTGAAATAAAATGTAACTTTCTAAGGTTCTGATCCAGAGGCCTTTTAATGAGCTCAACACATTCTATAGTGTGTTTTTATTTCCACTCCCCACAACTAGAGAATTTCAGGAGAGTTCTAAAAGTTGGTCTTATAAATAAAAACACGCAAATAGATGTATCAGTAAGATGAATTTAAAGGTTATTTTCTTAAGGCTGCTATACATTAGACCCAACAATGCTGAAGTTCAGGTTCTATTCACAAGGGAATCATCTTGATACAAGATTTCTCCAGTGACATCCATTTCTCCTTCAAATGTATTCGGCAATAGTAGAAGAGATGATGGAGAGATTTTGCTTATTTTTTCAGGGGGTGAACTGTAGGTTCTTTCTTTCTCAGAAGTCTGGATTCAAGTGCAACATCAAGCAACCTGAGGAGGGTTGTTTGGGTCATTAAGCCTTAGGTGGTCCCACTTGCAGTGGGAGCAACCAGGCAGCATGCCCAAACTGGCTGGTTCACATTAGCTCACAATTTTCAAAAACAGTGGGTTGTGGTGATACGTGAATTGTGCCTCTACATCAGATGGTAATGCACTTTGCTTTTTTGGGGTAATGTCCCATATACTGTACCCTTGCTGCTCAGAAGCACCTGAACTCAGAACCTTCCAGGATTCCTATTCACTTGCAGAATAATGCCAGCAAGTCAGGCCTCTCTGCCCTCTACCTGTATTTCCTTTATATAGCATATCTAGTGAGAATACTTTGGCATGAGGACAGCCTGGAGAAGGACCAGGATAAATTGTATCCTGGCCACTCCTGTCTTGATTCCCAGCCATCAGAACACCCTGTTTTCCCTCTCTAGCTTGTTTTTCTGATGTCAGAAAGGCAGCTGGCACTTTTCTTTGCTTGTCAGTCATGAGGGGGCTGGAGTCATCTCTTACTCCCCTAACTGAGCACTGTCTCCTTCCTTGGAAAGTGGTCATGGAAACATCTTTCAGTCCTTGGGATGCTCACCCAAGAATCATAGGATGGGTTTTAAGACAGAGTTAAATGATTCCTAACTAGTGGTGCTGTGTCAGTGGATTTCCTTCACCAGTTGCAGGTTGAATTGGGTATGATCCCTTCCAGGTCTGTGGTTCTGTGAAAGCACTATTCAGTCTTTGTTCAGCTGCACCAGCTAATAGTTTATTACCAAAAACACAATTCCATTTCTAAAATGAGTGTTTTATATGAATGTTTCCATGAGAAGTAAGAAATACTTGGATAATTCAGGGTTTGATGTCCTTTCTGTAAGACAGGATATCTGGACACTTACTATGTTTTTGTGAAGTTTGCTTTATTTACAAATAGATAAATAGAACATACGAGAGATAAGCAACTCATTATAACCCCAGAAAGAGGGCCTGTGTCTATTATTCATGTATCTAAATTTATAGATACATTCCAACTCCAAGCCCTTTCTGCCTTTGTCCTTTCCTAACTAAAAACTGTATACATACATATACACAGAAAGGGGGATGTGTAAAGGGAAGTTGCCATCTTTTTTATGGTATATTTCATTTAAAAAAACCGCAAATTCCCAGTTATGCCCTAATCATTTGTTTGCTAACCATTCTGGGCTATTAACAAATAATCTTCCTAGGAAAGAACAGCTAGCTAACAGCCATAAAGCTATTTCTATACTTTTAAAGGAGTGTTGCCATCACCTACCCACACCCCAACAATAATAAGGATTATAACTGAGTCCCTATCATAGGTTTTAGGCTTTTTTTTTTACTCATCTCCCAATTTCCTGGATGTGCTTAACTAATCCTGTTAAACTCCATTCACTTAAGCCTATCATGTTCAGAGAATGTATCTGATAGGAATGAAAAGTTTCTTCATTAAGATTTGGGGCAACTGTTTATTCAGATATATGTCAATTTTGATGGTCCTATATTCACTGTTTGTAAGAGGTTTGGTAGTGTATATATATGTAATCAGATTATGAGCACTGCTAAGTATTATCCTCTCTACTCTTACCAGCTCCATGGCAAAGGATTCCAAGGTAATCTTGTCTGTGCTGACTCAGAAGTCAGCTTTTGTGCAAGTGTGTGTCCTATACACATAAATGACAGCAACTTTAGGGCTTCTCTACAGGAGGGATTTATTGTGCACTCATAATCCTTTACTCACAGAGGTTTTCCATCTTCTCCCATGTTTTCCAGCCATTTTTGCAGCATTTTTAGAGTTAGAAATTCTGGCATTCTCCTAGGTTGTGCCGTTATTTGCATCAGAAGCTTAGTATATTTTTATAATTCCTCTCTATACCACAGCAACACCTTATGTTGTGTAATGAAACTTGGATGAACATATAGAAATGCAAAGGGGAAAAGACATCATTGCAGGGCACCCTAATCCTACAAAGAAAGTGGAAGAAGGCACAGTAAAGCTCTGGTTCTGTGCTTCACAGAGAGAGTGCTTTGTCTTTTTGCATTTGTATACATGATATAGTCAATGGAAGATCACTGAACTGACATGAATTCTATCCTATTATGGAATTGCATCTCTCAGTGGTTTCACAAGCTTTGCCCTTAACTTTTGTTGAAAAGTCTTGAGTATCAAAAAGAAAGAAAGAAAAGTCTTAACATCATCAAAAATTGCATTAGCTTTTATGTTGATATGTCAAATGGTTATATAGCAAAGGATCAAACTGAAATTTATGTTAGAAATAATATATCAAGGAACTTAAAGGAAGCAACAAAAATGATAGGACAACCTTAATAAACTAAGAATAAGGGGAAATAAACACAGACTTCATATTTATATTGCAGATTTAGGAAAAAATGTCATTCAATGATCTGTTATCCATCTATGGCCTTGCATAGCCTAATTTATAGCTTTTGGGTGGGGGTGACTTTTGAATTGTAGATTGCTACTTTGTAACGTTGGCTTGGGGCTTCTTTACCTTTTTGCTCTTCCTATTTTGTGATGCTGCCTTTGTATCTCCTGCCCTTAGAAAGTAAAGGAGTCAAAAGCATGACTTTAGCAGCATGTGGAAGGAAAGAGCTAAGAGGACCTTATATTTCCTCTTGGTGGATTTTATCTTGTTTTGAAAGCTAGTATTATGTGACTGTTTGCCTCATCCCAATGATCAATCTATAATATAATTGTAAATAAACAGATATTATCAAAGAGAAGGAGTAGTACGCACACAACAGTGTCTCATGGTAGATTAATTTGAGATGCAATTTAATCAACCATTCAATTTCAAGTAGTAATAAGACACTTACCCCATAACTGTCATGAAAAGAGCAGTCTTCTCTGCTAGGATATTCCAAGAATTCAGAAGAATATACTTCTGAACATGGAGTTTTCACTCTTCTTCACTGGGTTAGTAGGAAAAGGTGCCTTTACCAGTTGCATAAATGCCCATGTATTTGTGAACTGTTCTCAATAAATTAGCTTCATTAGGAGGGTGGGAGAGCTGTAATTCTATTTATGTGCATATTTGGTAAGCAGTTTTCTTTAGGCACTTCACTAATAAAGGGAATGTGTTGTTTATGGTCTGTCTCTTCTTATTTAAAAGGTTCATATCTTGTCCCCATACCTTCAATTGAACCAACTAGCTGTGCACACCTTGGAAGTCTCTGTCAAGGTAAGAAAGCAGGGCCCTTCTTCAGCTTCAAAATATATTGTTATATTCTTTCTTTCTTTCTTTCTTTCTTTCTTTCTTTCTTTCTTTCTTTCTTTCTTATTAAACCGTTATCATTTTAAAGATGAAAGTCTAAATGGAAAATAATAAACAGAAGATTGTTTTTATCCAACACATGAGCGGCTATACTAAATGTTCCATATATAAAAGAATATAACAATTCATTTGTTAGCACCGTGTCTGGAAACCCTTATTCTAAAACCTAACCATCTCATTCTATATAATAAAAGGTCTAGTTTTATTTATCCCTTCATCTCATGTCCCTTTGTTACATATATTAGAAACTGAGTTTCCATTCCTTCACAGCAAAAGTTGAGTGCAGATCAACACTCTCCCTAAGTCTGGTAGTTTGGCTGGCAGTTTTGTGGTCTTCAAGTGGACAGTTTTCCAAGGAAATAAAAGAAAACCTGGGATTATTTTCCCAGGCCAACTCATATATATGATTGATTTCTCCACTGATGCAAAGCTGGCAGAAGCGTCATTGCATTTTTGCATAAGTGTCAGATCTAATACCTTGATTCCACTTGTGCATGCAGTCGCACAAGAATTTTCATAGATCAGCACGGCAGCATTTCACTAGGTGCTTGCTTGTGCACTCTCTGGCAGCACATGGAACTGCCATAGGACACTGTCACCTCCTGTATTTTCTCTATGAATACAACCCTTGATACAGTTCCATGTGTCAAAATTCTTCTTGCCTTTGCCTTATTTTAAAGCTGATGGTTGCTTGCTTGTCTCTTCAGTTTCCTAGAGGCTAAGGACTAAATAATACCAAGCTGATTTAAATTTGGTCTGACAGCAACAATTCATTTTTGCTGAATTCTCATTATTCAGCTTTATTGCAGCACTCTGCTATGCATGTTTACTCAGATGTAAGTCCCACTGTGTTCAAAGGTAAGTGAGAATAGCTCCAAACTGCTGTGAACCATTCTGAAACAAGAACAGGAAATGGCAGAAGTCTAGAAGTGCTATGGCTTGTTTTACTAGAATTAGTTGCAGTGCTAATTTAAGTGGAAATGTCTAATCTTTGAGGATAACGAATCAACAGTATTTTATTGGGAAAGATATAGGGACATACCATATGAAAATGAAATTTCTGTTTAGACAAGAAAAACATACAGAAAGCAATGTTCTACTTCACTAGACAAAACATAGCAAGGTTACACTATACTAAGAAAGGGAATGAATGCTGTCAGCCTTTATTAATGTGTGACTCTCAACATTGCATGACTTGAAAACCCACAATGGCTTGTCATTTCATAAGAACCCAGACTGATTCCTTCGGGATGGCTTGTTTAAGAGCAGCAAGCCATACTGAGAACCCATGGGTTGTTCTTGGGGTTGTTGTGCCCACAGTGTGTTGCAGCGTCACCCAAACACAGATGACCAACCCCTCAATGGGGTCTAGAAACTGGGTACCAAGCCTCTTAGCAAGAGCAGTAACAATTCTTTGCTACTCTTACTACAGGTAAGAGTATTCAGCTGTCCCACAAGAGATGACTGGCACTGGCTTGCCGGCTTCCTTACTGAGATCGTGAGCCATTTTCAGCTTACCATGGCCTTTTACCCATTTAACTTCTCTCCCTCCCCCAGTGATTATGAAAATCAACCTGACAGCTGGCTTTCTCAGTTTTGGTTTTGAAAGCCACTAACAGCCCATTCCAAGTGCCCAAGTGGCACCTTGAAGAGACTGGCACTGGCTAGCAGACCATTAAAAATGTGTGCATTTAGTGTGCATATTCATATTTTGTGCATATTTTAGCCACAGTTGCACGGCTGTAGGGGTTCACTGTCAAAACTCTTTAAAAAGCAGTTTTGTTAGGACGGTAGCTGTTTTTTGACTGAGGCATATGGTTACATATGTGTCAATCCAACTCATGCCCAGTCCCCTGTCAAAACCCCCTTCATAAAGGCAGGGAAGAGTAAAGGGATAAAAGGAAGAAAAGCAGGGAGATGTAGTTCACAATTGTAGTGGGGAGACAAGTGAGCCTTGCTGCTGTTTGCCTTAGTATTTCTGTGGGAGAATGGAAAAAGAAAGAGAGGAGGGAGGGGCAGACAACCTAGGGTGACCCCAGTTGCCCATTGGGCACACAGTGGGATGTTCATAGCATAACCAGCCCATTGTGGCTTATTGCCTGGCTGAGTTGGTGAACCATATGAGTGCACTCATTATATCCTGTCTTGCTCTGAAAACCATTTGTGAATGTTGAATGATCCCTTGGAAGGACCAGACAACTTAAGGAGTATTTTTCCAAACACTGAAAAAGAAAGATTTGACAAATTAAATTATTTTATCTCTCTTCTGCGCCTTTGCACTTACTGCCACTTAGCTGCAAAATAGTTGCCTTTGCAAAGGCCACGAGGCAACAAATTGAAGATGATTATCCTAAGCCTGCAAGGTTTCTGCACAACCATCTATAGAAACTCCGTAATCCTAGTGACAAAATCACTCTTTGTAGGAATGGAAAGGAATCTTCATCCCAGGTGTCAGTTTTGGCCTGACATCTCAATCCAGTCCTCTGGGATTCCCCAGAGGGCCATGCCATCTTCCACTGGCTCTGTCCCTTTCCATAAACTGCTGGTTGTGTTGTAGCTCTCTTGAAACTTCTCTCCTAGTGCTTAATTCTTGGCAGTAAGAGCTTTCAGCCAAAACATGTGGGTATTTTTCCTCACACCTTTAACTTCTACCCAGCCCTCTTTGCCTCCAACCACACTGACTACTGGAATGCAACCTCTTAAGAGCTTCTCCAGCTGGTAGAGGCTCTCTATTCCTTCTCCTTAGCAAACTAAGAAATACTAATTTGCTAAGGAGACAGAGACAGTTGCAGAGCACACTTTCTAAATCCTCAGGAGCCATTCACCCCATCAAGCCCCTGTGCAGATCCCATTGGGATGAAGAGCTTAGTGCATTGAGAATGTACTTCATTGGTCACATTCTGCATAGAGAATTGTAATGAATGTTATTGCTCTGATTCTGAAGTCATTGTCCTTTAGACATTCTTGGATAAAACTGATACTTGAGAACATTATGCCACCCCCCCCCCCCAATTTAGTGGTACTGTCCTCAGTTGCTTTGAAGAAAATGTCTCCTTGTACTCATCTTCTGAACCAAGAAACTATTATGAATGTGGTTGTCTGAAAAATACATCACTTTTTAATTTTTTCCTTTGTTGTAACCTTTAATCTTAAAAATGGTGCTTCTCTAAATACCAGTGGGAGTTAGACAACTGAAATCCAAGACAACACTTTGAAAATGTATCCTTTACAAATATATTCATTTATGATTTTAATTCTGTTCATTACACAGAGCTTAGAGGATTTAATTAGATCCTTACATGGGTACCCCATGGAGGCTATTTATATACTGTTTGCAAACAAATGTTCTTGTTCAAAGGCCTTAAGAGACAATGATTCAGAATTTTTATGCCCACAGAAGGGTTGATACGGCTGTTGTTACTTCAGCGAATGTCATTCTACAGGTGACATGTCAATGTCAGGGCTTTACTTATTTATTTTAGCTGTTTGTATTATGAGTTTAAGCTTCTTTGGAGAGATGTGGCACATGTTCAGATAATGTATTTGGTTACATCTGGGGTGCTAAATTTATAGTCCACTTTGTTCTTTAGTGGAGATAGGGAGAAACATCTATATCTGCTACATTTCTACAAAGCCTTCCACTTGTAGATGAGCTAGCTTAAATAAAGGGCTAAGAAGTCAAACTCAGCTGCAGCACAAAAATGTACATGTATGAAATTTGTTCAACAGTTTACAAGGCAGTTCCCTCCCCTCCCTGTTCATGTTTTCATGCATTATTCCATTTTGCCCTTCATTAACCTTCATGTTCCATACAAGCTCACTTCTTTCTCATCTTTGTTACCAGCTACTGTAAATTCCACCACTACATCACCCACTGTCACCACTAACATGCCTGATACTAACAGAACCGATAAACAAAACAATGGTAAGAAATTCAATGTTCCATTTTCTTTTTATGTTGAGTAAGTATACTTGTATAATATGGGCCAGATGTCATAGAATAAGGCTTAATTCCACTTTGGTAAACACTGATGAAAATGTTCTGTGCCAAATCAGTGCAAATTCTGGAGAGGATCAACTCTTATTTCCTATAGAGGAAAGTTAATTTTTAGACTTCACAGCTTTAGTATTAATGTTTTATTACTCTTCAAATGTACTTTTTAGAAATGAATGTGTTATGTGATTTTTAATGGTTTCAGCATTTTCAAATAATCTATGTATTCCAACTGTTTTCATACAGGTCATGACAAGATTTTCAGGGTGGTGCCTAACTCAACCTATAAAATCATAGGTTTTTGCAAAATCCTCTAGAGCAGTTCACCCAGTCAAGCCCCTGTGCTTGATGTTGTTTAACCATTTATGTCAGGGAAATTGCAGAGATTCACAACAAACCGACTAAGGATGAGGCCCTCAAAACTCCTTTTGTGCTTTTGACATGTGTGCCCATCCTTGCTAAACCTAAACCTTGTCTAAATGAATGCAGTTCCCACTAAAATAAGTGAGAACATCTTCACTTATTACACCTCTGAGCTTTGCCTGAGCTTTGCCTGAGGAAGTCAGTTTTTATCAGTAACATTTTTTCCCATGTCTTAACTGTTTGGCTTACTGTATACAGAGCTGCAGGAAATGAAAGGTCCTGCTACAGTGGTCTTCAGAGTCAAGAGAAATTCAGCTGATTCCTCTCATCCAGTACTACAAGGGCAGGAAGATTCTAAAATAAGAGGTGTCAAAAACATAGGAATTATTTCAACCCCAATAGTTTGGCCAGTGAAGCAGAGGCCTCTCCTTACCAGTAAATCTGCATCATCTGAGAAACAAACCCCAGAGAGAAAAAATGCGCTCAATTATTTCATCCTAACAACACCTGAAGTCCTACCAGCTCCTCCTTGGGAAACTCAAGTTAATATTTTGGCTCCTTTTTCAGAACAAGTACACATGGAACATAATTATAATGGCTTACTCAGTGGTAATCCTAGGACAATACCAACTATCCCTCTTGATCATATTAGGAGCATGGTATTCTCTTTTCAACAGAATGAAAGTATTGATACAGGACCAATATGGACATGGGCACCAGAATTAGAAGATTCTAAATCAGATTCTTTATTTCCTTCTGTGGTGAACAAGACTATGGTTTTTAAATCTACAGGAAATCATCAGTGGATATTATCATCTAAGAGTTACATGCTCTCTTCTGCCTCTTACAGTGTTTTACAGTCTTTTAATGCATGGAATGAAGTTGCACCTTTCAATCCTGTCATGTCTGGAAATTCAGAAGAAAGTCTTATTTCTCTTTCTACCCAAACTTCTTCTACATACCCTAAGGAATTATTTCAAGAAACAAGACCACACTTACTACAAAGGTCATTTGAAAATGTCTTCCTAGAACCCACTGCAGAAAGTCTACAAGAGGATTCTATTAGAAATGGCTTTTACATAGTTGGTGAACTACAGCCTACAAAATTTAATTACATCAATGAGTATAATTCAGTACATTTTAAAAAACAAGTTTTAAAACAGAGTGTAAATCCCTCTGGCTCCTTGCAAAACATGAAAGCCTGGTTCCCAGATGTTATGCCCATAATCCAGCCAACAGAAGTTCTCCTGCCAGTGGAATACAGTACAGAATTGCAAAGTTTATTGTCAGTCTTACCAGAAACAAGAAATATAGGTTCAGAAATTCAGCAGATTATTTACTCTTCATCTTTATATCAAGAAACTATAAGTACAGCTTCTTTAAAAAGCAGCTTATTTACATTTAGACCACTAGCTGAAGAACTAGAACATCCAAAGGAAGAGGAGGAGGCCTCCTCTGCAGAAGATGACCATGAACTAAATGCATTTATTTCCTACATCAGCTATGTTTTTCCTTCTTTAATTCCATTGAAAAATACAAATTCAAATAGAAATAGGTTTACTGGATCTGGATACATAGAAACCAGTAAACTTGATAACCCACATAATAGTGTTTCTTTTACTGTTGATCCTGAAAGCATTAAACTCTTGAACCCTGTTGAATTAAGCCTTCTACCACAATATCTAGATAGTCTATCTTCAAGAAATTATTGGACTTTAGAACAAGAATCTGTGCTAGTAGAATCTATGAAAGAGTGGTGGTCTTCATTTAGGCCATCAGATTCTTTCCTGACACAGAGACAGTCCTTTTTCACATCTCCAACAGAAACAGGTGATACTACCATGCAAACCACCCTAGTTAGCAGTCCATTGGACTATGGAGCTGTAAAAACCAACATTTCTACTTCTGTGTCAGAAAAGAATGGAGATACATTTAGTACAGTTGTTCCAGTGGTCTCATCAAAGATTTCAGAAAGTCTGGAAAGAACATCACAGCTGGAAACAAAAGCGGACCTTTCCCTTGTTTCCCTAAATTATGCTTCTTCATTTCATTTGCCATTGACTTCACTGGAAATACCTCTGATTCAGCCTTCCTTGCATCTACAGATAAGTATTTCTGATGTATTAAATGAAAAGTTTTCTCAGGGCATCAAAGGAGGTGGCAGTTTAGCCTTGCAACAAAATTTTGATGAAACACTAGTTGACTATTCAGAAAATACATTCCCTTATCAAACAGAGATATTAGCACCATCTTTGGAGACTTCATGTGAAGTAGGTGCTTCTACAGTTTCATCACTGCATCCAATAAATTCTGAAGGACTTCCACAGAATATAAATAACATGAAAAGTAATTGGTCCACAAGTTCATCAGCTTCTGTAAAAAAAAAAGAATACTCAATAATAAACCATGTTTTTCTTGGAAAAGAAAATACACAGAGGTCTAACCTTGCCACAGGGTCCGCAGCTTTGGAAATATTGCATACTTATAGTCATAGATCCCAAATCCGAGCAAGTGCACAATCAGCGGCACTAATAATGTCCACACCTTTAATCTCACAAGGTCTTCAATCTAACCTTGCTTTAGATTCTGCCGGCTCAGGCTATTCATGGAATGAAGAGTCAAACATAAATACTCTGAATGAAAGCCATCTAACTAACAATAAGCTACAAGCTACAAAAGTTTTGGAAAGTCAAATCAATCCTTCTTTTCAGTTGGGTAATGTCGAAATGGTTGTTGATGATGTGGTTCATAGAAGCCTTAATAATAATGTAGAAGCTGTGATTACAGGAGAAGAATCACCTTGGAAGGTACATCACTATTCTAGCAAGCCTATTGATAGTACTGCTAACAAAGGATTGTCCTCTTTAAATCCTGATAATATCCATGCTACTGGTTTGTACATATGGACAACTTCCCCATCATTTGAAGACTTCTTGGATTATGAAAAAGTTGTAAACTATTCTTCCTTTTTGGAATCATCAAAAACATCAGTTGTCACTGATGGAATATCTCATTCTTTTCCAACTGTTGAGCCCAGAAACAGTTTTGATGACAATACATTAAACATCTCAGAAACAATAACTGGGATTACTTTCCCTCACCATAGCTTGCAGCCTCAGAGTTCAATGGAAATTTCAGCTCATGAAAATCCTCTGCTTAGTGTGGTGTCTGAAGGAAACCAAAGTGCTGTGCCCAAGACAACACTGACTCCTAGTCACAGCTCTCCCAAATCTGTTCTGTCTTGTTTTTTATGTAATGACTTCATTGGCTGCCCATGTGGACCTGAGGTCAAGCACAGTAGGTCAAAACATGAACCTAGCTATAGAAAAAAAATCATCTCATCTGTTAGATTTTGTAGAACTCAATTTAGAATAGTTGCAAATAGTGCTGTAAATCTTCAAGTAATTGAAAGTTACTAGAATTTCATTTATACCATTTTAAAAAGATTAATACTGAAATCATAGATCTTTAGTATGTGATTCTAATCACTTCCATCCCATTTACTAACCACAAGAACTTTGAGGAGACTACTATGACAGTCAGATGCTATTGATATGCCAATACCATCCACAGGCATTAGTGTTATTTGTGCCATCAGAAATTTTATAACTAAAGAAAGTAAACCCAGTGTGATCAAATGGTGGAAAGCGCATATGAAAATCACCCCTTTATGAGTACAAGAGACTGCTAAGTCTTCCTTCCCCATCTAGCTTCTCTCTACCAGAATGCTGGATCTAGTATTGTGCACTATAGGAAAGAGCTTCTGTTTGCCTTTCTGCACTGTCCCCTATCTTGTTGATTAACAGGGGCAAAGAAAGATAGTAGGAAACCCAACAATATATTTCCAAGAACATCTATGTCCTGAATGGCTTTTTTTTCCAGTAATTAATTTTATTGATATCCAGAATATAGTTCAGAGAAAGGGAAGATGTTCCACAATCTGAAAAGCATAAATGAACTTTTGACAATTATACTTACATACAGTTTAAAAATAAATAAATTTGTAGATTGTCTGTGGGCATTTCACAATTTTGAAGGAAAATCATACATATTAAAGGAAAATTGTATCAATTGAAACTTTCTGATTTGATCATTGTATAGTCTCCTGAGAGTGTCAAGAAAGCTATAGTCTTCTCTACTAACCTCAATTAAACATGTTGTCACTCACCATTCAGTGATTGTGCATATTAAAGTCTTTTGCTCTGTTTTATGGATAGTAATTTAGAGCTATACTAAATTTGATTTAGTGTATTATATTATAATATAAAAAGTATATCTATAATTCTACCAAAATTATTGCAAAATTTCTTTTCACCATAATGGTAATTGGATTTTACTCTTAGAAACTGGTTGATGCATCATGTAGGGCTTGTATACATGTTCAAATAAGGCCATGTATTACGCGGCTGGAGCTGTCCGTGCTATCTGGTTCTGCACACATTTTTAATCCAATCCAGTAACTGTGATCTATGGATCGAAACAATTGTCAAGAAAAAAAAAATCTGCTGTAGTAGGGCCGCAGGGCCACATTAAAGGAATCTTTCTTGGCAGCTTGTTTAGTATGTCCCGGGAAGGCACTGTAAATGCTGCTTTACCAAGGTGATAGTGAGTGAAGCCTTTTATATGGCACGGCAGCTGTTATGTAGCTGCTACACTGCTGGAAAGACTATGGGTGTGACATGAGAGCCCCTTTCTGCAATTAATGCTCCTACAAGGTGATCTGCTGTAGTGCAGTGACAAACATCTACTAGTCAGAGCTATAAAAAGTCAGGGCTTCTATTTTCCACCCTGATTATTTTGGGAAACCAAGATTGTGGTTTGAATGTGTTCCCAATTGGAACTTGATCCTCTGCCTGAAATTATTATAACTGATATGCCCTGAAAGTGTAGATAGAATGGGAAGAAGGCAAGATAAGGTACAAAGATCTCAGTGGTGCAGCTTTTATTCATGTGTGTCAGAAATGGCGCATGTGTGGTCCTACAGATACTGTTGACCAACATGGTCCATGTTGAAGTATTATGGGAATTGTAGTTTAACAATACCTGGAGGACCATGTGTCCCACTCCTAATACATATAATCATCACAATATTGTATACTGGCTGCGATCAGAGAGAACTTAAAGGTTCTGCTGCAATCAATGAAAGTGTGCTAATGTAATCTGAAGCAGAATCATATTGTGAAATTGTGATTTCATAGAAGGCTGCAGGATCTTTCTAAGTACTGAACTATATCTTCTTTTATTATTTCTAAAAAGGCAGTGTGGTAAGAAGGACATTTAAGACTGAAGCTTTACCACATAAGCTCATGAAAAGTAGAAACATCATTTTCATAGGAGCAGAGATTAGGTTTATTATAGCAATAACTATTATTGAATGTTAATCATGCTACATTCAAATAATTAATACAGTTGAATGCAGATTAACAAATAGGTAAGAACAATACATGCAATCAAATCAACAACAGGTTTGAATTAGGATAAACTATTATGGTGAAATCATTAAGTAATAACTGGCAATTAATTATTATTTAATTCTGACATAATTACAATTAATTAAACTTTAGGAAAAGTTTAAATGTGAATAATGCCATGAAAAGATTTTTCCTTCGGCCTGTATTGTGAAATACCAGGTTCTATTTACTGTTGCAATTTTTAAAACAATGAAATTAAAGCAAGTTGACAATTATAAAAGTAGATGAAGTTGACTTTAAAAGTTAAATGGGCTAAGTAGCCAGTAGGGTGTTTCTTCAGGATTCATTAGCATCATAGCTACATGGAATATTTGACAATATTTGGTGCTAGTCATTTCATTTTATTGTCAATTTACTGGTGCGTGAACCCTGTTGCAGCAATTCTTTCTTACCCAGGCTTCCTCTGCCTGCCATGAGGATGACTGGAGATTTGGTCATGTGATTTATAAACTCCATATTTCACTGTACTTTCAAGCAGAATGTTGCAGGCAGTTGTAGAACATGTGCCATTATTCTGACTTTTATAATGTTTTTGTAATGTACAGGTGGACTGTTCTACAGAATTTCCATTACTGTCTTCAATGAAATTGATGATACAGAATCAAATATTCAGAATAAAATTGCAGAATGGGTAAGATAGAATGTTTTATAAGCAAGTTTGCTATCATTACATTTCGATTAACAAATACATGTTGTTAAAAATGCTAGTTAAACCTTGGAGTCTACTTAAATTTTGTTTAAGCATGTTATATCTGTCTCTGTAATTTTAATTTTGCTGCTTTCGGCATATGGATTATATTCTGCTTTGTTGTGACTTATTAAAAACTGCTCAGATTCTCAAGATATACCTGCGGGCAGATTAGAACCAATTTAATCCCTCTTGAGCCAATGCAATTCTGTGTATGGAGAGTCACACCTCCTGCTGAATCTATGGCAGTCCAGTAGAGATGCATTGCATACAGCTGCATTATCCTTCACACACATATAACGTCTTTGCTTTCCTCCCTTCTACCTTCCCTTCCTTTTTTAACATGTAGCATACAGGTATTTGGTGCCTGTCCTGGAAGCAAGAGCCTAGATCTAAAAGCACCCCTAGAAAATCTCTCCTTCTCATGGAAGATCTATCGCTGGCACTTAATCATTTATGGCAATAATTTATTACTGTCTTTCAAAGATACAAATCCTTCCAGTATGGTTCAAATATATTTTTAATGCATTTTAAACATCCATCCATAACATGTCATTGGGATGTTTTCTGTAGGGCAACTAGTGGTACAAGGCCATGTTGGGGAAAGGAGCAGTCTAGCCAGAACAAGAGTAGGTACCTGATATCTGTGTGCTTCCTTTGATATATCAAAAGTGGAAGCTTCCGGAACTTGAACCTAACTGCAAATACTACAGGGCATCTTCCTAACCACAACAGCAACGTACTCTTTAAATTCAGAGCTGTTCTTCTATTGTTGCATATTTTCGCAGTCAAATATGCAGTTCGTTTGCTGTTTTCCTTTGGATTCCATATCTTTAATTCTTTACCCACTGTTCTTGTTTGCTAAGTAAGCTGTAATTCCTGGGGTGCAAACCAGTCCCACCTTGAAGCTCAGTCCCATTGCTAAGCAAATTTTAATGGCTGAGGTGTACAATGGCTCATTAATGTATTCACTTCCCTTTCACTTTCCACCTCTTGTAGGCTTACAGCATGGAATTGAAATAGATTTAATTGGCATTGTCAGCATTTGATGTACACCAGCTATTCTACACTGTGAAGATGCAAAATGTTTTTACTGTGGTACAGTAAGATTAAATAAACACAACCAAGTTGGCACTTGCTGGTTGCATAAGTATACATTCCCTGTTCTGCAACATGCTTACATAAGCTCTGGTGCAACTCACTTCCTCCAGGAGTCACATACTGTAGCTGAATTGTGTCCACCTGTGTGCAATTCCAGTATCACATGATCTAAGATTAAATGTATCTATTTTTGATAGGGTCCAGTGTTCATTGAGGAATGTATCTTAACAAACAGCAACATAAAGACTAAAAACTAAATAACTATCTAAACAACTATCTATCCTATCTAGGATAAAGTTGTACAGTAGCACAATATCCCAAATAATAACGATTTGGGATTAAGAATTATTTGGAATTAATCCCAAAGAATAACGATCCCCTGGAACACAATTAAATGAATGAAAAGAGTATGGGTCAGTCGTGATTCTGCCTACAGAACACAATCCACCAAAACTCGGTGACTGGAAAAGAGAGCATTAGTCAGAGAAACAACCACGAGGCAAGTGGTCTTGCTGCAAAATGCTGTGTGTGTCACAAAGCCAACAGTACTCATTGGCCTAAGCATACCATCCTCACAGTGAAGTACAGCATTATGTTGTAGGCCTGCTTTACCTTGGTAGGGTTTGGACAACTGGTCAGGACTGCAGGCAAGATGGATAGCTCTAACTACAAAGCAATTCTAGAGGAAAATCTGTTTCACTTTGCAAGTGACCTGGGACTGAGGCAGAAGTTCACCTTCCAGCAAGACAGTAACCCTCAAAACACAACCAAAGTAGCACTGAAATGGTTTAGGAACAAGAACATGGATATATCTGAAAGGCCAAGTCAAAGCTCAGACCTCAAGCTGACTGAGATTCTGTGGCAAGGCTTGAACATTGCTGTTCATCAGCAGTCTCCATCTAGCCTGGGTCCACCCAACTGGAGCATTTTTGCCAGGAAGAAAGGACAAATATTGCCAGATCCAGATGTGCAAAGCTGGTAGAGACCCAAGAACACTCAGATATAACTGGTGCCCAAGGTGCTTCTTCCAAGGATGCACTTGGAAGAGTGAATATTTATTTAACCAATAAGTGCCAGTTTGTTTTTGTTTACTTAAATTTGTGCCACATTAAAAATAATTTGTATCTTCACAGTGTTGCATAAGACTCATATTTTGTAATAGCGCCAATTAAATCCATTTCAATTCCAGGTTGTAACACAAGAAAATGTGGAAAAATGAAGGGGGTGTGTATGAAGGCCTCTTCCAGGTGCTGTGAGTGGTTTTCATGTTACAAAGCAAGCCGTAGTGCCTGGGATATGTACAACTGCTTTTATATTTGCTTGTTTTGCAGTAATACTGTTTTGTGATCAGACATACGGAGTACCTCAACCTTAGGTAGAAAGATAGGATTAAAATGGTTTAAATAAATGAATTTCACTACTTATTATACAAGAGAACATTAATTAATTGAAATATGAGAAATATACTAAATAATTGAAATGCCAATTCCTGTAAATAGCTATATTTGGAAAATCAGTGGGCAGGTTTGCACATTGCAACAACCCTTTAAAAACTGCTTGTGTATGCTGCCCAGTCATTTTTCAGCTAAATGGAAAAGCTGAACAACACAGGACACACTGTTTAGCCGTAAGTTCCAATTATGGCTTGTTGGCGAAAGGGCAAGCCAGAATTCCTGATCTGCACATAATTGCAAACAAGGACAAGATGTTCCTGGGTTGTTTAGCCAATCGCACAGTTGAGTGTTACAGTTATCGCAAACCATTAAAAAAAAAAAACCTCAGGTTGGTGCAAGATATGAACCAGCTATTATGTTCATACTATGTCCTGTTTCTTTTTCCGTGGGCTCTGCGATTGCCTATATCCTCAGCCTGACCAAGGCAGCTGCATATGTAGGATAATAGGGTCCATAGAGGTTGCACAGAGTTGGGAGGGTGTGGGGAAGATATTTATGAGTATGCTGTTTGGATCTGCCTTGATTTGCTGAAGTCTGATATGTTGCCTATATTTACGATTTTATGACTGTTCCGAATTCATTGACAAGCCAAGGAATGGGCTCTGCAATAGATTCTGCTGTTGTCTTACTGGGTCTGCCTGGCAGGGAACTCTGTGCCTTACTTTTCTTAAAGATGATGGTTTCCTCTTACTGCCTGGTTACTCAAGGCAAAACATGCCCTACTTGGCCAGTCATGGTTCTTGTGCCCTTTCAGATTAATCCTCATAGCTCTCAAATTTCTCCTACTTGGGCAGTATGGCAAAAAAGGGAGGAGTTGGCTATTCATGAGTAAATATCACATAGGGCATCTCCTGGATTCTGAGCCATGGCTATAGGACAAAATATATTACAAATTATATGCTGAATATTAGTAAATAAAAAGGGAAGCAGTCAGTTGAGGAGATGATAGAACTTCTCTGATGGGTGTTCATACCTATTACATTTGTACATACATATTAAAAATTGTATTGCACAAAATTAATTTTGTCATGCAGTAGTGTGCAGGTGAAGGCAAAGTAAGAGATTCATTTCTGCTGCATAATATAAGGCTATCAACATCTACATTCCTCTTTTTTCCAGCTAAATATCACCTTTGAGAATTGGAATTATACTGTATATGTGGTCAATATAAGGTAACTGCTTAATACAATTGAAAGACACGCTAGTTACCACCTCTTATGGAAGACTCTTTTTTCTAACTTTTACATTTACATCTTTTTTTATCTGTAGTATTCAGTCCAGTGCTGTGAGCAAGGCAGCAAGGGAAAAAAGAAACACAGGACATCAAAGGTAAAATTGTACTAGGTTCTGCCCAGAAATAATTAGTTTCATTAATATGTGGATCTTTACCGTCCAGCTGATATCCTGCAAGGAAAGCAACCATTCACTGACAAAGCCTCAGGCAGTATGAGGGCCTCTGTGGGTGTGTTATTCACATGCACTTGTGAGCAGCATGGGATTGCATTGTGAAGACCCCGTTATTGTGCCATTTGATGTGTTTCATATGGAGGAGCCACTTAGTCCTACTGTAGGATGGGGAGCAGCTCCTGTACTGCTGAGAGGAACATGAAAAATGAGTCTCTGGGCTCATGAGAAATTAGCGTCTCCAAATGTTAGCTGTACTTAAGTTTACCCAGACCAACACTGAACACAACCAATTAGTACAACCCTATTTCTTTGTGCAGTTCATAAGCGCCTTAGCCAAAGTGCCTTCATCCTCCACTTTCATACTATTGTGTATTTTTCCCCTTTCATCTCTTCTACAGCTATATTCAAAATAGTTCCATGTTTTCATCTCTTTTATAAGAAGGCCTTTATCACTGAATTATCCAAATACAGGGGTTGTGGGGGAAGTGACATGGCATACTTCACTCTCCAGAAGTGCAAAGGAAAATGAAAAATAGATGTGGCCTGCTCATCTTACATCACTTTGTAATTCACATGAAAGAGATCCAAAGCGACAGCGATCACAGTGTAGTACTCCTATGTGCCAATGACAGACGCATGTTTGCCAGGCTGTAAAGTGCATATTTTACCAGCACCTGGAGCAAGGCAAAAAGATATTTGGAAAGCAGAAGTGTAAAAACACAATAGTTAGTAGATTATTAAGTGATTCAAGGAAAACATTTTATTACTATTAATTGGCCCATTTCATTAGTTCTCTGGTTCCCAATTCAATGGTATCCACTGTAGAGCAGAATTGAATGGTTGATTTGAAATGATTGCCATAGCTAGGTTTAAGGGGGTTTTTTTCTCTCTCCACACTTTCGAACAAAGATCATGTGCATATGTTTGGGTTTAACTCATTGATGCCATGCCCTTTTTGACATCACAGTAATGCTACACATTTCTGTTCCTGCTGCTGCTGCTTTTCCCCGAAAGATCCTACAGTTCCTAGGTGTAGCCATATGGCCAAGACTGGGTCACATGGGTAAGAGACACATGTCTTCCTAAGGGCTCCCCTGTTTCCCTGTGTGGCTTTTCCATTTTATTTTGCAAACAGCTTTTGACTTTGGTTTTATTTCCTGGCTCCATAAACATTTGCTTGCTGCAGCTGCCTCACTGAATTATGATACTTTAGGCCCATAGTCTGTGTTTAATCTTACTACAAGGAATGGCTGTTCTTACTACTGATTAACCAGCAACTCACTGAAAAATACCCACTGGTCACATTTAACAAACTATTGAAGGGCAATTTGCTAAAACTGCATAATTTAAAACTGCATACTTTAAGACACTACATGGACAAGCAAAGAAATTTGACTGTGTATGATGAATACCACTAGTAAGTTTTTATTACTTCTATTGCTATCATTGCATTGTTTTATTGCATTTTATGGTTGCTTTAAGCCTCAGTTTCAGTTATTAGGCAATACAGAAATCAAGTAATTCAGTAGTTAATTGAACTGTTGCTACCAATTTTCATAGGTCTATAACTATAGTCCTTACTAGTTAGCTATACTCCACCTGTCCCACAAGCATATCAATTGTGGTTTTTATTTTTTCATCAATCTTATAGTGTTCTTTTGTTGTTGTTGGCACCTCTGTTTTTAACTTTATTTCAAAATAAAATAAAATAGAAAAATATCCTAGAATTTAACAAGTATTACTACCAGTTTCAGTGAAGATATATTTTGTAAATAAAATAAATTTGATTTTTGTTTTTTGAGATGTATGAATAACATTTTCAAAACCATGCAACAGGGTGAGTTCCCATTGCTCTGTCCCAGCTCCGGCCAACCTAGCAGTTTGAAAGCATGCAAATGCAAGTAGATAAATAGGTACCATTTTGGTAGGAAGGTAACAGTGTTCCATGCATTTTGGTATTTAGTCATGCCGGCCACATGACTGCGGAAACTGTCTGCAGACAATGCTGGCTCCCTCAGCTAAGAAATGGGGATGAGCACCGCCTCCTAGAGTTGGACATGACTGGGCTTAATGTCATGGGGAAACCTTTATCTTTTTATATGCCATAATTACTTTACTGTTTTCTTTAATCCTCTTTCTCATTATGGTCAGTATTAATCCTAAACTATGGTTAATTTTAACTCTACTAGTCAAACTAGACTGCTTCATAAACTATGGTGTGAAATTGCCTTATTTTCACTGATTATATTTCAAATTAACCACAGTTGTTCCATATTTGGGCAATATACCAAGCCATACTTAATTTATTTATTGTTGTAAGCCGCCCTGAGGCTTCGGCGAATGGGGCGGGATAAAAATGTTTTAATAAATAAATAAATAAATCATCTAAATGGGAACCTCTTTGAAAGTCTTCTTCACAACCACATAGGTTGGAAGGAATGGGGTGAGTGTACAAGTGAAAGGCTTGCCTGGGTTCATTCTTGTAACACTAAATACTATTGGCTTTATGTTAACATATGAAGCAGCACACCCAGGCACTCTACCCAAGAAAGTTTACAAGACTCTACATTTTTTGGGGAAGTGAAATAAGAATTTCAGTGGGCTGTTTTAGGTGTAATGTTGAAATTGTTTTTGATTCTGAGTTTTGTTTGCCTGTTTTCAAAAATGACAAGATTTGTAAAAAAATAAATAAATAGCAAGTATACTTTATTAGATCGTACCTTGTCGGTAAGTCCATGGATGAAATAATAGCTTTCATTATGTTTTGTGGATAGTGTAAAGCAAATGAAGTAATTTTCCATATTCCTAACTTACATCCTGATTCAGGAATTGAACTATATTTTCTTTTCAGTTATGATGTCCGGGCTCTTTTGGTTTACAATTCTACCAACAATATAATTTTAGAAAAACAGACCATCGAGGATAGACTCATAAGGAGTAATTTTTCTATGAGGAACGGTTTAAGTCTCCGGAAAGTAGATGTTGATCCAGTTGGTGAGTTTAGTATATTACATGGTTAATAAAATTATTAATATGTCACCTTGCTTCTCCTCACACACTGTGAGTGACAATCCTTTTGCTAAAGAAGAACAAGCAAAGCATAGGATTTCATGGCAGCTGAGCCCCGTCTCCAATATAGCTGGCCGAACACATACGGAGGACAAAACATTGAATTACCTTTCGTATTGGCGGAGCAGCAGTGACTAGCAGTGACTAGACAGATTTCTGCCTGATCAAGTTTGGACTCCACAGGAATGGAAAACCAATTTTTATGCTCTGACCCTGAACTAATGGATCCTGAGTTTCCTAATGTCTCTGGGATTTTCTTGCAAATTTGCCTGGTGAACCTGCCAAGGTCCAAATTAACGCCTGAAATCAGGAGCCGATAATGGCCATTAATACTGTAGCTCCTCATTTAAGCTGTGGAGTGCATTCAGCTCCTTGATACTTTATGAAGTTGAAGGAAGGGAAATAGAAAGTCAGATACTAGACACAGGTGGCAGAAATCCTGAATGTGTCTAAACAGGCAGTCAAGCCCATCCTAGGGTATATAATGTAGCTGTAATAGCAGCAAAGAAAGCCATTGCATCTGCACCGTGCTGTCAGTGAAGCTCATTTGAGTGACCAGGAACTTGCTTCATCCAGGTCCTGCAGTCTACCTGTGGCGCCCCAGAGGTCTCCTGCAAATGAAGTTGCAGCATAGTTTGCCAATGATCTCTCTGATAGAATCACAGATGAATGCAGGCAGAACACAGTTTGCTCCTGCTATTAAAGATTCTTTTTCGTTTGTACATGCTGAGCATGCTTGTTGACAATTGCAGTATGTACGAGTTGAAAGACCAAGCCCTAACTCTTGTACACCAGATAATTGCCCTGCCTATCAATAAAATCTTCTGTGACCATGCTGTCAGTACTGAGTTTGGAAACAGTAAATGTGCCACTGAGGTAGTTCCAGCAATTCTGAATGAGCCAATTGAAAATTTCTGGAAAAGTCACATTTAGATCTGCTGGCTTTGGAAATTATAACTCAGTTTTACATTTATCTATTTTAAATTCATAATAACATTGATTTTTGTATTGTGTTGGATTGTTTTATGCACCATCCGCCATGCTTCAACTATGGGGCAGTATAGAAATGAAATTCTTCACTGTTATCAGGTTCAGAGACAGACAGGCAGCCAATACAAGCAGGCCAGAATTGGTGTTTACATGCTCAGAACCTCTAGTCCAAGCTACTAGTTTGTCTGCTGCATTTTACACAAGCCACAGCACTGTGCACAGTCTTGAACAGCAGCCTGAAGGGGAACACCTTGCAAGAATCCAGCAGGATGATTACTAGAGCAGTCTGGATAGAGGCATAGCTGGGCCACCTGCTGAAGCTGGAGAAAGGCACCAATGCTGCTGAGGCCACCTGAGCCCCATGTGGCAAAGATGGCTCCATGAGAACCACCAAGCTACAGAGGGCAGCCTCATCCCAAACAAGCTGACCAAGCTTCATTTTGTTCAACTGTCTCTGCTTTTTGAACAGAGAATTAGGACTATAATTCAGTGGTACAATGGATCTATTCAGCAAGAGAGAGAGGAAGAAGGCACCCACATAGATACTTGGTACAATTCTAGTATATATATGTTTACGATGGTGAAATGAAAGGTGGGAACCCACATGGCAAATTCCAAGTCTTGCCATTATTTACCACCATTATTAATAGCATATTTGTTTGTGTATGTAGACCATATACATACCAGTTTGGTTCGTGAGTCTGAAGAGTAAGAATAGCAGATTACAGTGTTGGAATATATGCAGAAGTGCACATTATACTGAACTCAGGGAAGCAACGGTGAGCTAGGGGCAAAACGAGAATACCCAGTCCCACTTAATCCTCAGCATACACCATGTCCATGTAAGTTGGGGCTTTGCTACTTCAGGAACAACTATGCATAACAGTATTGCACAGTCTACCTAGGGATGTGTGAGCTTGGCTTTGTTGCATCCATGAGTCTGCATTCCTGGTGAGCACACCCAGCATTTGTGCAACACCAGGAATCAAGCCCAATGTGAACATTGCAGTTGGCATCCGTCTTCTGCATTAGATGTCTAGGCTTTAAATAATTTCCATCCTCAGTAGGAAAAGTGCAGAGCCTGTATTCTGTAATACCTGTAATCACCCATATCACAAATTACTGATTCAAGCAGCCCTTTATAGGTAAAAATGGCAATAGGTAAGCCTCAATAATGCATTTTGAAAATCGGGTTTTTTGGTTTTGCTCTAAATTAGGTTTTTTGGTTTTGTAGAAACATGTGAAAGCCAAGAAAATCCTCCAAGTTACTTCTGGAAAGATACCAGACCAACTGTAACTGATTTCACACACTGCCAAGGCAGCACCACCCAGATTGCATCGAGAAGATGGTAAGCACAAAGGGCATAAGAGCCCTACTAGTAAGGGAAGGGTGAAGTATAGTGTGGATATGGTGATCTTGCCAAGGTCATGCTTAAGGCCTAGAATATTACTGATACCATTGCTAGTTGGGGGATGGGGAAACAAGGTTAAGAAGTACAGGATCTGGGTGCTGCCCAGTGGGGTTTTTAAATTGTAGGAGTAAGGAATGCAGAGAAAATTTAGGACTATGCAATCTCATAAGACCCTTTGTACTCTATTCTTCTAAGCAATGTTCTTAAACTCATAAAGCTTGTTTCTTATTCTTCTTCTTAGCTTTCTGAACCTGGATAATTACACATCATATTGGGGTGCTCCTGATCTTAGAAACTGCACAGGCAAGTGTTTTGGTATTTGATCGTGATATTTTTGAAACATTCTTATGGACTTGAGCTTCCGGTTGTTTTTAACAGCTTTGTTGAAGGCATATGGAATGTCTTGCCAAGATCTACTGCCAGCACATATTCAAGTGAACTTAAGCTTATTGATTTCAGCGCCTTGAGCACACTTGATTCTGTAATAAATACTGGATGATGATGCTTTGTTTGCACTGATTTCATCTTAACTACATGCACATGGCTGACAATTCTCAACTTGGATCAGGGTTGATCCCCATTCCATATCACTAGAGCAAGATTTATATTTTAAACTCCCTTGAAAAGTAGTGTTCCTTTCTTGGTCTATAATCCAGGTTTATCTTGTTTTGCGTGTGTTCTTACAGAAAATGCAGCTGATATAGCCAATCAACTTCTGAATCTCATGGGAGAAGGGCAGCAGTTGACTTCAGACAAAGTTAATGATGTCATTCAGAAACTTAAAAAAATTGTGAATGATGAGGAAATCAATGAATCCCTAGGTTCTACCGTCGTCACAATATTTTCCAATATTCTAACTAGTTCTGATAGTGTTTTGGCGGCATCATCTTCTGAGTAAGTATTCATGAAAAAATAATAGGAAATTAAGTTCCTATAAGGACATTTAGCTGCCAGTGTACAACATGTTGTTTCAAGAATACATATCTTCCATATGCTGGAGTTGCCCAGCGAACAGAAAAATAAGTGGTTTTTGTTCCCTTCTGTTGTGGAAATATTTCTCTGAGAGAGAGGGATAAATAAACTAAAACCAAACTTGAAGAATACTACTATACGGAATCATGGCCTTGACAGTAAATCTGCTATTCTGATGTTAAAATAGGATTTGCCCGGGAATGTAACATTTAAGAGAAGTTAAGCTAAAAGATAAGCAAAGATAAACATAGCAAGGCATCATAGTTGTGTTTGCAATGAGATCAGATGATAGATAAATAAAATTGGTCTGATTTAATTGAATAATAACTCATTAGTTAAAATAGTACCCTCTAAATCAAAGTGATAACATGGCCACAAGAACCAAGTGCCACAGAATGCAGTTAAAGAGACAATAGCTTCTGTGATCTCTATGATCGGGTTGCTGGGGCAACAAACATGCAACAGGTTGCAGATGTATCACATGTCAGTCATTATTGTGTAAGTAATTATGTTATTCCAAAACTTTAATGTTATTACAAGGCCGTTAAAATGGTCAAAAACGTGCCCAAATTTTTAAAAAGCAGTAACACAATGTGTATAAACAGGCCTGTATTTTCAAAATGACTGAAGCATCAGGTTTAAGAAAGGGGTGGAGGCACTGAGAAGGGAAGTGACACTTCTGTTTCCCCAAAGGGAGCAAACAAAGCAGCCAGACAGCCACAGTGGATTTAAGCTGGTACATGCAGGTTAGATGGGTCTACCTCAGGTAAAACTGGGCCATTGCATGCAGTTTTTTGGTAGAAAGGTCAGATCCAGTGCAAATGAATAAAGAGCATAGGTTCTATTAGCATTTATGAAGCATTTATGCAGAACAGTGAAGCAACATTCTATTCATTTGGGATGCTTGTTTATAATGCACAGGTAAAATATTTTTTTATTAAGGATATTGGGTTGCTTGTGTGGTAATGGTGATAATGAAATAATACTGTTTGCTTGATTTTAGAGCGATAAAGACTATTGATGCCTTAGCATTGAAGATTCAGTTTACAGGTCCTTCCATGAGTATCTCAACACGAAATTTGGCACTTGGCATTTCATCTTTGAATTCAACTTTGTTCCGTGGCTTCTCCTTCAGTGTTGGTTCCCAGAACAATGCTTCAGACTTGCAGGTATAGGAAGCACAGCTACAAATGCACAGGCTTGCATTAATTCACACAAGCAGAAATTCCACTGATTCCAGTACCTGTTTTAGAATGCGATTATCAAAATAAGGCCTTTGAGCTATACCTTGCTTGCTGCAGTTTTTAACCATTTCTGTACTACTGCTATTAACTTGCAACAGCAAGCAAAATATTATTAAACATGAATTTATTTTTATGTTTAACAGAGAAGTACATTTTTGAGCTCCAGGAATGCAAATGTCATAGAATGTTCACAGAAGGCAGTACATGCAACTAGGGCCTAATTTGACTTTTTAAAGGTTTTGTTTGATTAGTTTTTCATAATAGAATTTGTACTCCACTTTTCCTTTTCCAAAACATGATATCCAATACAGGCAAAAGGAGGGAGCAGCACCAAAACACTGACAAGTAATAAGAAAAGCCTCCTAATGACCCATTAAAATGCTATAATTTCAGTTAATGAATAATGTTGTAATGAATAATCTCTACTATGTCTTATTGTTTCTGTCTCCCTGAAAAAAGTAATCCAAAATGTATTTGGCATTTGATATTTCTGTTTTCATATGTGTGCTATGCCAAGATTTCACATTTTGTTCATTATAAGCTGCTAACAATGAATGAGCATTAAACATTTATAAAAGAAGAAAGTATGCAGCAGTAAAAGCAAGCCAGATATAAACAAGAGCACTTGAGCCACTGAACAATCGACAGTTTGCTGAAACCAAAAAGTTGCTATACTGAGATAAGTTCAACTATTAATGTTCAAATTTCAGTTCTGAACATTCAAGTACATTGTAATGCAGTCCAGGTCTATAAATGATTATAATTCCCTTAAAATTGTTGCCAAATTTCTTATTGACGGGCTGATCAATTCTACAGTGCCTAGAAAAGGCAAAGAACATAGAATTGTTTGGAGTCCTTCCCCCTTTGTGACAGTCTAGTGGGTTGTCAATACTGGCACAGCCTTGACATGAGGAACTCTGGATCCCAAAGCCACTCTTCTCAGGTGCCATGAAAAACTGGGAAACTAAACCAGCTGCTTCCCAAGGTCATAGATGTGACTAATGAAGGAAGCAACAGGGCATTCTGGTGGGCAGGGAGAACAGAGGTCAAGATGCAAGAAATTCTTTGCTCTTTGCGGCTGTGGCCCAGACCCAACCCATGTAGTTTCACTAGGCATGTTCAGGGGGCCCATCTAGAGGAAAAACTTTTCTGGATAGGCTAGAAAAGGTCCTGCTGCCAACCACCAAAGCAGAAATCTTCAAGATTGGAAACCCCTAGGATTGTCCCCTCAGTGTTTATGGATTCAGATTGCTCAGGATGTGCTGTTGTTCATTGTGGAGAAGATGTTTCCTTTTTAGTTCAGTGTCTCTTTTTTCATTTGCATTTCAGGTTGATTTTGATAAAAACCAAGAAAATGCTTTGGCTTCAGTTGCTTTGCCTCCAAGCTTACTAAACAGTTTAAGTCCAGAAGATCTTGATGCTGTATCCAGGGCTCAGTTTACTTTCTTCAATAAAAATGGACTCTTTCAGGTAAGCAGGGTAATGATTTCCTTTGGCTAAGTACAAAAGTGCCCCTAAAAACATGAAAGCATACATACTTTGCAATTTATCTTGTTTGATGTCAGTGAGAGCTTGCTGATGTCAATAGCCTTATACAGATGTCATCTCAATGGTGTGTGAGAAAAATAGGAGGACATGTTAATTGAAATGTCTGAAAACCTCTGTAGAGTGTTTTCAGTATGATCAGGAAATCTGCAAACAAAGTGGAACTGCAGCTGGTGGAAAGTAGGAACTTGTCTTGAATTTTTATTTATTTATTTATTTATTTATTTATTTATCAATTCATATCCTGCCTTTTTCCTACAAAGGGCTCAAGGCAGCTTACATCATTCTCCTCCTCCATCTTACCCCCCACAACAACAACCCTGTGAGGTAGGTTGGGCTGAGAGTCTGTGACTGGCCCAAAGTCACCCAGTTGGCTCCATAGCTGAGCAGGGACTAGAACCCAGATCCCCTGAATCCCAGTCCCATGCTCTTAACCACCACACCACACTGGCTTTCAGTTGAATTGAACCATATAGCCACCCAGAGATTCCTTTAGGAGTAGAGGGGCAACATATAAATGCATAAATAAATGCATACATGCATGCACACGTATGTGTGTGTGTAGTCAGTCAATGTAAGGCAGCCAGAATAGGTCATTTGTTTGGATGATCTGGTCACAGCTATCTCCTAGGTGCCATGTTTTGAACAAGCTGCTGCTTGTGAACAGTCTCCAGGGGCAGACCTATGTGGAGTACATCGGAGTACTTGAGTTAGTGAGATAGCGTATTCTTAAATATATGATTCGGAAGGTGTTCTTATTGTCTCCGTTGTTTTTCTCTAAATAAAAATAAGTTATAAGTTGTAGAAAACTGTAACCACTGACAAAATATCCTTTGAAATTGCACAGAAACCACATTCAAGAAAGAAGTCTTGTTTTTCAATGAGCGGCTTGTTTCCTATAAATCATTTGTAGTGACCTTTGTCTCCAGTGCATCCGCAAAATGCTGCAGCATTGTGCTGGCATATATTATACTTTTTATTGGCACTGTGGATAGATATTAAGCGTAATCTAGCTTGGCAAATCACCATGACCCTCCACTGCCTTCTTAAATACACCCAACAATATCTGTAGAGTCTTTGGTCTCTGCATTTTCAACATTCCATTGTAATGACAACAAAGAAGCTTAGAGTGAACAGGAAAAGCCGGGGCATATAGCTCTTGGGAAAATGTTGTTATGTCATGGTAACACATAATTCATTTAGGGAACAATCCCAGGTTCCCAGGAATGGTAGATGAGGGCCCAATGGATGCTATGAAAACAGGGCATTCTCAGGGCATGGAAGGGGTGGGCTGTGGGTCTTGTTTCTCCAACATGCCAACTAAGGCCAAAACAGTATGCCTGCTCAGGGGCTGACTTACTTCTTTTATCTCCCATTATAACAAAGAGAAGCATTTTTTCCTGGAAGAGCCAGGAGGGAAATAGAAATCTTGACCCTTCCCACACCGTCACAAGCCAGTACAGTAATGTCTAGGAAATAGTGGTTTCTTCTTTTGGGGAATCTCCCACCAGCACCTGTCTGTTCGTCTGTCTGGGACTGGTCTTTTTATTTGTTACACATAGTTCCAGTTTCCATATACTTGTTTGCAATAATGATCACAAGCATTAGTTAATGAGAAACATAAAAGCCTGACTCTACAAGCTCCTACTTGATCCATCTCTTTTCTGTCATGTGGCCCTGAGCTAAAGGAAAAATCATACTGTGGCTTGTTCTATTTAACTGATTTTATTGCTGACATGGAAATGGTAGATTCTCAGATTGCTAATACATAGAATTAAAAGTTTGGGTAATAGCAGAAAGTTAAGTGTACTCCCAGTTTTCATAAAATGAACTGCATTACTTCCTTACTAAGCAGAACCCATGTTTACTGAATCAATACATCATGAAATGAGTCCCGGATGCCTTGATGTCCAGATAAGATTGAAATACTTGCTCAGTCATTGAGGAAGTCTGAATAATTTAAAGATAGTTCTGCCTGGTCTTCTTAGAAGCTTTGATGTGCTTCTAAGGGTAAACTAAGAGCCATCAACATGAGTAAAAAGCTGGACTTACCTTTTTTCTAGTTTTTTTTTTAACTTGTACACTTAAGACTAAATAAGAGAGAAAGAGAAAAGGGGTGACCTGGTCCACTTTCAGCCCACCCACAATTGCTCCAGCCGCCATTGATCTACCAATTACCTCCAAGAGAATGAAGGTTTCTACAGAAGAAAGGTTCCCACCCATGTGCTAAACCATCATTGCATAAGCATTGAGAGTCCTCAGGATTGTGTACTCTTCCCTGGCCTCTTTGAGCACAGCCATAAAGAAGATATCAGAAGCATCCACTTCCAGTTTAATCAAAAATGGTTTAGCCTGACCCAGGCCTAATCTGAATCTTAAAAGCCATTACCTCTCTTGCCCTCTTAATCTGTCACTAAACAGTACTCTCTTGCAAGCCTATGAGATTTTCTGCACAAGGCTATAAATCTGTGGTATCTGATGACACTGCAGAACTGAGATCCAAACTCCTGCAAGTTTTCACTCTCCTGCTTTTTTCCTGTATAAGCAGTAGGTGGTGCTTTGTCACGGTAAAATAATAAAATAAAACAAGGAAAATATATTTGATTTTGCTTTCATGAATAATACCCTATTGTCCTTGCTCTAAACCACCCTTTGCTCCTAAGAATATTTAAAAATAGACATAAAGCTGGAAGTTCACAACATCATCTAATCGATCATGAGCATATAATACATGCCTAACATAGCAAAACTCGGTAGACACAGTAACAAAGTTTCAGGGCCACTCAGATACACCATAGCATCTCAGAAGTCACACAAAACATTCAACTATTACAGATCATAAACAGGAGTTTACATAGCATTTTTTCTGTAAACTCAAAAAAGGAAGCCTGAATAGGGATAGATAGATAGCTAGATGGAGGGATGCCCAGGGAATTTCCTTACACAGAACTTGGAAATCTTATCTCCTTTATCTCTTGGGAACTCATTACATGGTAGAAAATGTAGCAAATGTATTGTGCTACAAGTGTCTTTAATGCCAAAACTAAAGATTATCTCTTTCCTCTGGAGACAGTTCTGTTAATAAGATAAGAAAACCATTACAGCCTCAGTTTGGGAAGTGATCTAATTATTTCAGAAGTGGATATTAATCAGCATTGTTTGAGGGTTAACTCTGATTTGTCTCAGAAAAGAGTGGGTAAGGGAGAAACATTCTGCAAAGTACCATACAGTCTGTTCTGGCACTAAATGTTACAATAATCAGGGAAATAACAAAAACCCTGGGAGGAAAAGCAGCCATTTAGTGTTATAATCAGGATATTATTTCTGAGGGGATCTTTTAGCGTCTTATAGGTATGCAAGGGGATATCATGTGGAGGAGGTCTGTGACCCTTTTTCCCCTGCAGTGTAGGGTAGGATGTGTTCCAGTGTGGCAAAGCTCAAGGAACCAGGCTTCAGGCTGGATGCCAGGAAGTGCTTCCTGGTGTAAGGACCCATAGGATATGGAATGGGCTTCCAAGGGAGGTGGTTGAGGCCCCATCAGTGCGGGTGTTCAAGGAAAGATTGGACAACCACATGTTGGGGGTTACATGAGCAGAGCCAGCTGGAGCTGGAGGTCAGACTGGATGGCCCAGGATACCCCTTCTGACTCGCTTTGCTTTTATATTTCTGTAATGAGCAATGATAAATGTTAATGTGCTCGCAATTGACTTGGTCTCTCATGTGAAGAAATAAATCCATGTACCTTAGCTATTGTTCTGTGGATTCAGAAAGATATTCATGCTATTTTAAATTAATCTTCCAAAGGATGCAGAAACTCACTTCAATTTAACCAGTTATGTGGTGGCCTGCAGTATTGGCAATATTACTATCCGTGATCTCCAGGATCCTGTGAAGATTACAATTAAGCATACACTTAAACATGACAAAATCCAGGTAAGAGCTCTAGATTGTTCTTTGTCTTTAAAAGATCAGTAATGCCACATGAAGTCAAATGCAACTATAATGGAAAGACGTGCAAGGTGCTTCTAAACAAGGCATTTAATCCTGCAGATGCCACACTTTAAAAATGGAATTGCATATGGGAACATTGTCTTTCATGTGTAGTTTTCCTACTTTTGTCTTACCAGAAGTTGAGGAAAAGACTGAAAATGTTCACAATGGTTTTTAATTTTAGCACTCGAAACCATCCATTTGGAAGGATTCTCATTCATTCTTAAGTAAGAAACCGAAAAAAGAAAGTAGAAATGTGGCTATTACAAGTATAAGTGCCTCTTGTGGCACAGCTGAAATTCTGTCTGTAAATACGTGAGAAATTTGATCAGGCTCTTCATATTCCAGTTTATTAGCTCTGTGCTAGTACTTATTCACTGTGGTAAAACAAGTTTCCAGACTTCCAGCTCTAAGAGCACTTGTGCATTTTTAACTGCTAATGAAATCTGTGCAAATAATCTCCCTTTAACCAATTTGTGCAAATCTGCCAGTTTTGCACAAATTATGCTAGAATCACATGGGTTGGGGTGTGTATTTCTGCAAATTAATTTTCCAAAGGATGCAGAAGCTGACACAATTTAACAAGTTATGTGGCAGCATCCAATATAGCCGATATTACTATATGTATTCTCCAGGTTGCTGTGAAAATTACAGTTAATAATACACTGAAATATGACAAAATGGAGTCCTACAAAAATACGGATTGAAGTCTGTGGAAAAGAATCCCAATTTGGCTCACTCAGAAATGGACAGAAAATATGTTGAGTTCAGATGACCAGATGTCCCTGATTCCCTAATGCTCTGTTGAATCTTAAGGATTTACAGCATCTCTCAGATCAGAAGAAGCAGAATGATGGCTACAGGAGCTATAGCTCCAGTAATGTTTTTTTTTTCCCCCTTGCAGCTTGTGACTAGAAACTAGGGCCGAAACTAGGTTTTACAAACAGAAACACTGGCAATCCAGTGTAGGGACTAGCATTTGCAGGAAATAGGTAGAAGAATTTCTTGAGGAAGGCCTTTGCAGAGGAGAATCAGCAGGCACAGGAAGAGGATGAACTCCTTGTTTCATTATTTGTTATCCCCTAGAAGTGCTCTCTGTCTCTGCATTCATATAATCTGCACATTAAGGGGCTTGAACCAAAAGTTTGTTAAAATGACTAATTATGCCCTTACCAGGTAACCAAGAACAGTTCAGAACAATGTAGTGTGGGGTTTGTTTGTTTTTTTTAACCAACACGAGATTTTCCTCTGAACTGCTGCAGGGGAAAAGGGGGTTAAATTCCCCACACATGCTACGATACACCTTCCTTAATTTCACAAAGAGTCAATACTGTGAATCAACTATATCTACTGCTCAGTGTTGCAGCATTGACATCTGAGCTGTACACAAATAGCTTGTCCTTTCCTGATCTTCTACTGCATAACCTGTAGGTGGTGCTATATAGCAGAATAATAAAATAACTCAAGTGGGAAAATGTGTTTTGTCTCACTTTCACAAATAATACTTCATTTTCGATGCTCTAAAACCAGGAGACAAAGAGAACTGAAAGCAGAGTGTTATCATGTCATCTAAATAATAAGTGAGGAAAGGTGAATGCACAATTAATTCTTACACTCTACTTACCAGTTCCCACCAGCAGATACAAGTTGCATGTTCAAAAAGCTGTTGGTTAAACACAAAGACACAATTTCATATGCAGATTGCCCCATTCTCATTTTCAGCCTGCAGCACTGGAATAAGAAACTGAAAGACAGTGGAAAGGAGCTTTCAATCTCAGAATGTTTTAATAAATTTCACAAGACTACATGTTTTAATTTGAGGATATCAGTATGGCTATACAATGTTTATAAACAATATTTTTATTTTTATCTTGCTTGTATCAATATTTAGAAGGCTTCCAGTCCTACCTGTGTCTTTTGGGATATGAACAAGAACAGTAAGTTTGAACTTGTTCCCTTTGTTTCTAATATAGAAAAAATACTGCAATTATTATTTATAACTTGAAATCTGTTTTTAATTTAATAAAATTAGGAATGTGCCAGAAATACTATTTTTCCAAACACAGGATAATGTTATGTAAAGGTAATGTGTCAAAGAGGTTTGGGCTTTCAGTGGTTTCGAGCCTCCACAGCAGGAAGAGATCCATTAATGTGGCCCATTTCTAGGAATTTATGAATCTTAATAGTTTCCTGAAGTCTGTTGAGATTTTTCTGTGCTGCTAATTTGTCTGACAGTCCTTGTCAACCCTCAGAATGGGAATTAGTTTGGGCTGTAAATGTGATAACTGCTAAGCATCCTCTCCAATCTTGTAGAATCCATCCAGCCCTTGCTTTTCTGAGGAGGTAGGAGCAGCTGGTTGGGACGGTGGCTGGAAGCAGCTGTAGAAGAGGTACTATAGCTCATTTTTGAGTCAACACCAGAGTAAGGCAGGAGACTAAATCATAGTGGAGGAACAGAAAGCCCCCATGCAGCCCTGGGTGGGGTAGATGACATCAGGGGCAGGGCCCATTACATCATTAGGCAGTGCAGCAGGTGATTGATCCGCCTGCAGCATCAACCAAGATGTTTAATCTGTATGGAATCTTGCCCAGTGGGGAAGGTGCAGTACATGCAAATCTTAGAGGTTTGGGCCCAAATACAGACAGATTTGGCTGGCACTTAGAAAAACAGCTGTTTCCAGCACCAGCAAGGACCTCTGCTGTGCTATGCACAGGGAAATCCACATTGTGCTCTCCAATCTCCTTCTTGGGGGAAGCCATGAAGATTCTGTGGGCAACTCATGCTCCAGAGCATGAGAATAGGCATGCTGGATCAGACCAAAGGCTTATTTGGGGCAGTATTCTGATGCTTCCAGGGTGACTTCACCATTAGGCAGAATAAGTGGATGGTCCAGGCAGCAGGTGCTGGGGAGAGAGACACTGGCAGGAGCCCCTCCTAACACTGCTCTTCCAGAACCCCCAAGTCTAGCCTGCTGCTTGATGTACCAGGAAGTACAGTGCAGGAGAAGGTGGCAAGAGTGTTTGTATCCATTTCGCCAGTCATTATTGCGTTCCATGGAGAGCCTAGAGCAGGGATTGACAAGCCATCCAACCTAGCTGCTTCTTCCCATAACCCCACACCCTCTGCTGTGGAAGGAAATGCTCTTGTTCTCACTCTCTGATCAGTGGATATCAGAGAGATATCAGAGCTTTGCCCTGCTTAGCACTGAAAAAGGATGAAAAAATGGTTACCCTGGCCTAGGGCTCTGACAGAGAGACAGTCAATGCTGGCTGGAAATTCCCAAAAGCTCATAGGAATTCATCACATTCTATCGGTTTGTAGAAACAGACCATTCTAATAGGCGCACCATTCTGTAGAAAGGAACAGACACTGCCAACCTCAACATGAGTCTGCTTCCTAGGTAAGATCAGCTTTAGAGGCTCTATTTCTTATCCCACCTTTATATGACATTAGATAGACACACTTGATTCAGAGACTTTTCAGTGGTGGCACCACAGTTCAACTGAGTCTTCTTTGATTCTTTAGTTAGTTGCTGAAAATCTTTTTATTTCACTATGCCTTTGGGGGTAAATTGTAGGGCAGTATCCAACTGGGCCATTGTGCGAGTGGCCCATTCCAGCAGTTCTATTGCACAAGTCGGACTCAACACTTGAGTGGCAGTTATTTTATTTCTTATAGGAAGGTTTTCCCCCAAATAAGTGGGAAATCTAATTTCTGGTTTGCAGCAGGTCAGCTGAGCGTCATTTGAAAGTTCTGCTGATCTGCCCAGTGCTTCTGCTTGTTTCCAGTTGCTAACAAAACTGCTAAATCTCCATTGCAAAAGCAGCAGGGCTCACTGGTAGAACAGAATCAGCACAGCCAGAACATAATTAGCAGGGTAATGCAGCATCTTATCCACAGCCTCCCAACTGCTTGCCTCTGCTTTTGAACTGACTAATTTTAGTTTTCAAAGGCTGTTTTATTGCTCTGTTATTGATTTGTATTGTGTTTCTGCTTTATGATTTCTTTATCTGATTTTTATAATTCCTGTAAGTCACTTTAGATATTACTTTACAAAAACCTAATAACTACCACATGTATCCCCTGCATTTTCTAGATGGCCAAGGTGGATGGAATGAGACAGGTTGCGTAGCACTGAACAAGTCAAACGAAAATGAAACGGTCTGCTTATGCAATCATCTTACACACTTTGGGGTACTGATGGTATGTGCTGTCTTAGTTCTTCATGAGGTTCAGAAAATGATAATATGCTTGTTGGATTTGCTGCACTCTTTGAACTAATTTCATGGTTTTCTTAGAAAGAACTGAACTGCTTCTTAGAAAATGCTGGATCCTCTGTACACTTTTCATGAAACATTTCATTTTCTCCTGAGAAATTCTCTCCCAAGCACTTAGAATCTTTTGCCTAGAATTTTACCAGCTGTATATCACTCATTGATCTAGACAGTAAATAATGATGTATTTTCCTATATGAATAGGAATAATATGGACAATTCATCTACAGTGGTGATGAGAACCTCATATGCAACGCATTCCACTTTCACCGATCTTGCTCTGGGCATGGTACACACAGTCCTAATCTAGCACTGGGGACTGTGCACCTATACCTACTTGGACCTGGAATGTACACGCTCAGCATCCTCTTTGTGTCTATATCCTGATCCAGCATGGGACCTGTAGTGAGAATTCTATATAGGCTGTATTTTTCAACTGCTGACCTGGTTTCTAATGACTGATGAACTGTTATTTCTAATCCTCCCTCCCTCTTTCACTTACTACCCCACTAAGGCACCTTTATCTACCATAAAGGAAACAAGCATATTAGATATCAGTATTTTTTAAAGTTATTATTTTTGCAAACTGAACAGAATTTCTGAGGATCCCTATACACTCTTCTCAAAAATCAATTCAGTCTGAGTTTCTGTTCGTATTAATATTCTATTGTTTGCAAGCGTAGGAAGAAAATTAGAAAAATAGAACTATGTATTAAGCCAGAAGAAAGAGCTATATACGCTGAGACAAAGTGTAAGAATGTTTTTTTTTTTTCTTCCATGCATGTGATTAATGGTACATTAGAGCCAGAGGATTTAATGTTTGGTTTATACAGGCCTTCTAATATATTAGCTCTTTTCACATCTTGCTTGAATTTAAATATGAAAAATATCACAAGAGCTTCTGTTCTCTTTCAGACTTGTTCTGTTCCACTTTCACATATTTGTGGGAGAAGGGGGCATTCTTTAAGATAAATTCAATGTGTCCTTTCTCCTGCTGTGAGTGCTTTTGTGTGAGATTCGGAAGTGAAGAGAAACCCTGGCAGTCTTCCAGACTGAGAATTATAATATTTTCTGGTGTTCTAAATTACCAGTTCTTTTCTGTGGAGTTCTCATTTATAATTACATATAATAGTTTCAGTCCAGCAAAGAATATTTGTGTGCAGAAAATGTATGCACTTTCTCACTCTGCCTTTGCATCTGATGGAAGTGAAAATGAACGTGGTATAGCAATGTACACCATGAAACGGATCGATTCACCTGTTTCAGTATTGGGTATTTCAGTGCAAACATGTTTTCTCTCTTCTGCAGCAGACAATTAGAACTAGCACTGCTGAATATCTGCTCAGCTGGAAAGACCTTGCACATATATGTTTACATGGTATTAATTACTAGGATTGAGGCCACTGCCTTAATTAGTTTCTAGATTAGAAAAAGAAATATGTAAGTAGTGACACAGATGCATCTGCTTGTTGTTAGTGCAGGAGTTATGGCATGCTAGAGTTCACCTGCACTTCCTCAAATGTAGCCCTGCTCATTTACCTGGCAGGAAAACCCACTGAACTCAATGGGACTTACTACTAATTAAACATATGCATAACTGTGTAGTCAAATTTTTATAATACTGAGGTCTCTCAACTTTCTGGATTTAGATGAAGCAAGAAATGTCTCAGGCTTTTTAGAGCTGCTATATGGTACTTGCAGTGGCAGAAAAGAGAACCCCTTTAAGTGTGTTTCATCCTTTAAACATTTACAAATCATCTTCCTTCATGAAAAGCCCTGTTGTGAGGCTGGCATTCTTTCCCAATGAAAGTAGTCACTCCAGATGATACGACAAATGTCTTTATTCTAAACAGTATTACATGTACAGTCAAAACAGGATGGAAAGTTTTTCTTTCGTTCTAAGTTCAGCCCACACTTGATTTATGAACCCTTCATGGCCGCCCCTTCATGGGTGGAATGCTGTGACCCCTCTCTGCGTCATTCAGTCGGGATTCCAGCTGTCCCAGTCTGCGCCTGCACCTGCGAGAACGAGCATCCTCAAATCTCCCTTGTCCCTTGTCTACTTGGTTCTCACATTCCATATCAGAAGATTGAGAGTCTGTTCTCATGTTTACTCCCAGATTGTCCTGTTTTTGCACCTCTGTTTGGGCTTCTCTCTGCACCTCCTTATATGACCCATTCTTACTCTCAGCATCTGTGAGAGTGGGGAGTAAAGTTTGCTCTGCTGACACCAGAAATAACTCTTCATCAACACTCTGGTTCTCATGGGAAGTTTCCTCCTTTTGTACATGTGTAAGGGACTCATCTGAGCGCGTGCACACGACAAGCTCCACAATGTATTAATGAACAATTAAATCAAATTCTTTCATCAATTGCTTACTATTAGGCTGTTTGTAGGTCAAGTATTACATTCTGTCAAGCAGTCTATCTGTTAGTGGTCTTTTGCTTGCTTTCAAAAACTAAGCCAGGCTAGAAGAGCACTCCAGTTTTGACTTTTCACAATACTGAAGCACACAGACTTAAATAAAATCTTAAAAGATCATGTAATGCTTCATGAATTGGCAAAAGATTGACCTAATTTGCCTGTAACAACAACCCATAGTATGGTTTGAGTATGGGTTTTCACTGAATCATGAGAATTGAACGTTTGTTCTTGAATCACAGGTTATTGTGTGAACCTGGGCTACAGTTTAACTTTGGGTTGTTAACCACAAACTACCTAGAGTCCACAACTCAACAACAAATGATTGCTTCCCTTCTTGGGTTATTTGTAGCCAAAGTTAAGCTATAGTACAGGATTGTCAGGATCTGGGCTGCTCTGATGACCAGAACCAGAGCAACCACCACCATATTTGCAGGACTGATCCCAGGCCTTGCTGGAGTTTTCAGTCAACTGACAAGCACCTGCTGGGAGTCCTGGGGGAAGAGCTGTGAAACAGTAACATGGGACCTCCTGTTGTAGTGTCTGCTCCTGGTTCCTGCTGTTTCTTCTGTCTTGCCTGTGCCAGCATCCTGCTTGACTTTGCCTGCTCCTGGTTCCAGTAGGGTATCCTGCATCTTGTCACGTCTCCCACCTTGCCATGTTGCCTCAGCAACAGAGGTTCACCTGTGTGCTGTTTCTGCTTATGCCTGCACCTTGCCTGACTTTTCCTGCTCCTGGTTTCCTTTCTTTATCAGTGTGATTTGAGACACTGTTCTTATTTCCTGTACAACTTAAGGACCAAACTAGACATACATATATATGTAGATCCTGACAGTGATTTAGAAAAAACATAAAATATTTTGGGCAAGATGGTTGAAAAGGATTTTCCTGCATATTTATACATTTCACATTGTCTTTTTTTAGCCATATTCATCTTTCTCACAGAGTTTTAGGTCTAATACATATTTTGACCATCTCAGGGCAAATAGCATGGGTTAGCAAAACTGATAAGAGAAATGAGTTGTGTTCAACTGTGTCCATTCCTCAGCAGAACAGGCATTATCAGAATGTATTCTCATCCATTCCATTCCTTTCCCCCCACATCTTCCAAACTTATCCACAATGTTTGGGGATTCTCAGTAGATGTAAGGGATGAAGGGGAAGTACTGTTCCATAAGTGGAATTCTGCTTCTATGAATTTAACCTGGTGTACTTAAGGGTCTTGAAATAGTTTTTGACTATTCACACATCAATCCCCATATTTTAGGCTGCTACCCATGCACACACATATATCTTCATTGATATTATTTCCATCTGTTTTGCAGAATACTCAGACTGAAGTTCACAGGTAACTCTGCATGTATTCCCCAAAGCAGGGATAATCTGCATGAAAGAAGGTGTCATGTGTGAGAGATTATACTTCTAAAAATTATGATCCTCCGTATATTATTCACAAGAGAGTAAATTCAGATTTTTAGATGCACGTTCTGAGGAAATGGGAAACTGCAAGAGGAAGGATTTCCCACAAAATGGTTCTTTAGAACTTCATGATACAGAAATGAACAATAGAGCTGGTGTGTTGGTACTGTTTCCAGATGTTACATTACTTATTCTCTGAATTTTTCTCAGGCGCTATAGGAAGGAAACTAGAGGTGTGACAGCTATTTACTAAATATATCAAGGGCAAAGTTTCAAGCCAACATTCTCTGGAGTTTTCACCTGTGTTGCTGTCACAAGGAAAAAAGAACAGTTGGACATTTCAAAATGTTGTTCCAACATTTATCTTTATTTTTTATTTTTTGCTTTGTATACAGGACCTGCCAGGAACCTCTTCGCAAATAGATCCTGAAAACACCAAAGTCCTCACTTTCATAACATACATTGGTTGTGGAATATCTGCCATATTTTCAGCTGCTACTCTTCTGACATACATTGCTTTTGAGTAAGTATTTTCTCATAAAAAATCAGCTATTAACTAAATTATTAACTTAGTGGTAGAACATGTGGATTGCATGCAGGAGATTCCCCATTCAGACCCCAGAACAAATGTCTAAAAGTACTGTGGCAAAATAGCTTTCAACCCTTTTGGAATTTGAGAACACTGTATTAAAGTTTTGTTCCCCCACACAGATATACTCATAAGCAAGAGTGCATGTACACACACGCGTCTACTGATAGACAAGTCTTTTTTATGGGCATAAGTACATCTGTCCATGTGCTTGTTCATGTCTTCAGCAGTTTTTAAGTCCCAAGAGCATCAAGAGTTGAACTTTATAGAATGGAACACATGTTACTTATAGAGACATTTGCTGTCCATTTTTTCCCTAGAAAATTGCGAAGAGATTATCCCTCCAAAATCCTGATGAATTTAAGCACGGCCTTACTTTGTCTAAACTTGGTCTTCCTCCTTGATGGCTGGATTGCATCGTTTGACATAGAAGGCCTCTGCATTGCTATTGCTGCCTTACTGCATTATTTCCTTCTGGCAACTTTTACTTGGATGGGCTTGGAAGCTGTTCATATGTATATAGCCCTAGTGAAGGTATTCAATACCTACATTCGCCGATACATACTAAAATTTTGCATAATTGGCTGGGGTAAGTAATATTTTTATAGCCAATGTTTTCATTTAGTACTCTGATTTGGTTGCATTTCACTATTACCAAGCAGATGGATAATTCTTCTTTTCACCTACCCTGACCTGTTCTCCCTTCTTTCAGCTGCACTTTTATTCAGAAAATGTTTATTAGGAAATGAAGAACAAGGTTTCTCCACTATTTTCTGATTATTTCAGCAGAATATTTTTTTGATAATTTGGGGTGAAAGTTGTTCAGTTAATAATGGTTAGAATTACAGTATAAATTATTGTATTTATAGAAATACAATCCTATGGCCACTAGGCACTGTCGAGATGGCCATAGGATAATTTGGTGCTGCAGTTCTGTCCTTGGAGAAATGCTCCAAGGGAAAAGCTGGGGCTCTGAATTCAGAGCACACCTGCTCTGCAATCACAGCTGCTGTGGTCCTCTCCACACTGGCTGCAACTTTGAGGTCAGGAGACCAACCTCAGAGCTGGAAGCACAGTAGCTATTCCATAAGACACGGTGTGCCAGAGGGAGGCACCACTTTGTGAGGAATCCTGGTGGTGCCCCCGGTGGTGCCCCTCATGCAAAGTGCCGAGATGCCTTAGATTGGCCATCTAAGTGGGAGGAGTGCTGAGGCCATTTTTGCCTCAGCACTTCTTCCACTCTCCACTGGATGTCCATAATCCTTGGAATTTGGAAGGTTATGACAACCACATTGGATGGCGTAATATATATTTTTAAAAGATATATGCTGATCCTGGAAGCGTGCATATTCATATACATTGGGAGTGTGTCCACTCATTTTGGTTGTTGTTGTTTTTGCAGGATCAGTGTAAACACACTAACTTGACTTCAAATGCAGTTCGTGATTTTCCATTTACTTATGTAATTCTGACTTACTTTCCTAATGCATAGTATATGATAAAGGGCCAGCAGGGCTGGTTGTTTTGCTTGTTCAATATGCAATTTCAACACCATGGAAATTTAATATATCTCCATGCTGTTTTGGAATAGCTTGATCTTTCAGCCATTAAAGAGAAAGCATACTCGCAAATAGTTCAGAACAATTCTTAAGAAAGGCTGCTGTGTGAGTATGAAGTTTGTCCCTTCTGGGGAAAAGTGAAGTGAGAACCCACTCTTCCCTCAAAAGTCCTCCAAAAAGGAGGGCTGTGAAGCCAGACATAGGATGCTGCAAGTCATCAGAGACATTCCTGGAAGTTCTTTGGTACAAGTCATATTTTTTAAAAAATACCAAGGCTTATACTTATTTAAAGCACCATTTGCTTGTTTTATTTAACAGATTAAGAACAAACCTGGTAAATATGGGTGGAAATAACCTTTGATTTGATACAGTGAAGGCTGCAACCACGTATGTGCAGCTGATAAAGAGTTGGACAAGAAACTTGTTCCAATAGAACTACGTTACTTGGTCTAAAGAAGATATTGAATATGTGCATATAACAACATACCTGGAATATGTGTATAACTTTACGTTTATTTACTTAATTTCATTTGTATTTTGCTCTGTAGTTGAAACTCTCTGGATGGTTTACAACAGTTTGTAGAAGCAATATCTAAATTTCTGTTCCATTCCTGTAACACTGTGCCTGAGTTTTAAAAATGTTTCTGATAGCACTGTTCCAGGTTGCAAGGAAGACCTAATTTTCATTACAAAACCATGCATTGAAGGGCATGTATAATTGTATAACTGTATAATTCATGAAACAAGGCACTTATTCACAGTTTTCTGTGCCTGGAACTTTAGGCTTCTGAAAAAAAATTTGAAGGGTTGAATGCTACTGTTGTTGTACAAAGCAATGCAAAACCATAAACCAAAAGGATACAGCAAAAATTTGACACCAAATTCTCCTTAATTGTGATTATCAACATCACTGACATCTATTACTAAATAGTTTACAAAAATATAAATCAGTGCTGTAGAATGGAGCCATAGGCAAAATGTAATTAACAGTGGGCTGAATTGATTTCCAACATGGTCAGAATGTAATTTTATATCACATTATGTAGTGATAAAACACACCTTGAAGGCTAGATTTTCTTCTAATACCAAACTTGTGTGATCTGGTATCTGCTTAGCAGAGAAAGTGCACAGCCCACAAAAAAGTAATACTCAGCTGCCATTTGATATTAATATCCAGGATATTTTACATACAGTTGCTGTCTTTTCTTACTGTACAGCAGTTCCTTTACAATAGGTGCTTGCTTACCTTCAACAAATTACATATAGTAGCCTCTGCTTGGGGTTGGTATCACAGCCATTTAGAATAAAACATTTAAGTTATGCAGTGGCACATGGCAGTGGAATACAGTCTGAAGCATTCTTTGACTCAGTCTCGTGTATTATTAGAATGTCTCAGAAAAGGGACAACCATAAACTAAGGCTGATGTGTATTAACCTGCAGCACTGTCAGCAATGCATTACCTTTGGCCTAAATATAATGCATTACATGTAGTAGAAATTTCTGGGCATGTCCAGAAATGCAGTTGCATACTGATGAATGGTAACTATCACATACATGTGCATATAGAGTGATAACAAAATGGTACAGCAAATATGTATGCTAAAGCTACTGTTGCAAAATTGATTTGTTCTAGATAGCCTGTTGCTCTGGCCTAACATAACAGTTCTTGTGTCCTTAAGCATTGTAAGGTCATGTTCTTTTTTATTACAGGTCTACCAGCACTGGTGATAATCATTGTTCTAGCGAGCACAAATACAAATGCAAATAATATTTACAACAAAGAGTACTATGGCAAGAATACTAAGGGAAAAAGTGGAGATGATTTGTAAGTATTTTGTCTCAAGTAGTTAAAATGCAAGGACCACATAAAGCTCCATGTACTTTGCTGTTCTCATCTATGAGTCAAATATCTCTGTGCATAACCATTTTGGAAGTGATATAAGAAAGATTATAGTCCTATTCATGCATTCCTGAACTGTGTGGGGTATATATCTGAAGAGGGGAGTACTGTGGCCCCTTCTCCTTACCTTAGAGCAGGAGCACAGAAAATGTGGACCAGGAGCCTGAAATCTACTTCTGAGAAGTTGTTGCTGCTACATTCCCATAGTAGGCAGTGTCAAAGGCAAAGGAGGAATGTTGAGAAGTCCCAAATAGCATTGTGTTTTAGCTATTGTACAAAAGTCCGGAAAACTTTAGGTTTAGGAAATGGAGTGGAATACAGACAAATGGGTGGGCGACTGAAGTTGTTCTGATCAACTGTTACTGCGACTGTAATAAGACCCCAGGAAGACTAAATATGAAATGGAGTGACTCCATAAAGGAAATCATTGCCTTGAATTTCCAAGAACTGCCCAGGGCTGTCGTAGATTCTGAAGCGCTTTCATATGTAGAGTCGCCATAAGTCAGATGTGAAGCCACATTAAAAAAAAAAATGCACCACCACTATGTCCAAATATGCAATTAGTGAGTTTTCAGTCATTTTTGAAGTTGACAGAATCAGTCCCAGCAGTTGAATAAAAAAGAAGAATCAGACGCTGAGCACCAAGTTACAGGAAACCTGGTTTCAGCTAACAGAGCAGTACAACAATGGAACCAATGACCTAGGGAGGTTGTGGGCTCCCCCACACTAGAGGCACTCAAGATGCAACTGGACAGCCACCTGAGAGGGTTGGTTTAATTTGGAGTCCTCCACTGAGCAGGGGCTTGGATCCAGCTGGGCCCTTCAGGTTCTGCCATTCTATGATTCTATAACATTGTTTACACAGTTTTCTATCCCACTAAGGGTACATGTGGAAACATACATTTATCTCTTAACTGGATCTCAGGATGTGATTCATAGAAACTTAATGTGATAGATAATGTTTGCTCTGGGATTGTCTACCAGCTCAAAAGCATAAATATCCCTATATAACTAGCTTTTATCTTTTTGCAGGAACAATTGATTTGGTTTGTGTGATAGAACCTTTCATTTTCTTTGTTTTTCTTAGAGGCTTAAATATCAGTTTGTATGTATATGATTGGTTCACATTTTCAATAAGCATGTGCATCAAGGTTTTAAAGTGTGCATTGGTGTGCATGCATATACACACATATTTCTGTGTTTTACAAGTTTCTTGCAGAAAACTCAGGCATATTACCAGTGTTGTGAGCAACAACTGAAATGTGTAAATCTGCCCATAGTGAAAGTAAACGCGATTGAAATGAAAAGGATTTCCTTTCATTTATATGTGTTTAGAATCGGTTCACAGCTTGAAACTTGGATACAAATCTGCTTCTTTAGGCAGCTAGCTGAGCCTTTCCCACAGCTATAAATTAAGCTTACAAAGAATTATAGAAATCTCACCAAATATATGTGGTCACTTACTTTCCTTTAACTGTAGGTTCCTAGTGAGATAATTATGCAGCTTTTCACTATTCAAAGAATATTTTCAGATCAGTTCTGCAATGTCACTATTGATATATTCATGTATGTAACAATATAATATATAATATGGGTGTTGTAATGAAACTGGAGTTGGCTGTGTCAGCAGAAATGTCTACAGTTGGATGATAATTATGTAAACACTGGATTTTATGGACTCATTGCAAAATATCAGAATTAAACATGTTTGTTACTTTACTAACTTGATGCAACAGTCTCACTAGCCAGCCCAGTGTGACTAACCAGTCTGAGTCAAAATATTTTAGCTGCTATCAGATTTACTCAGAGCAACTCCAAGTGTTCACTGAGATAGTGGAAACCAATTTTGTACAACTATAAGTGAAGAATTCAGTAAATGATCCTCTTGTGATTTATATTAGGTCCAATTCATGCCATCATTGAGGTATATTCGCTGCTTCTGGGTGATCCAGTCCCTTGCTGTAGCAGTGATGTCTGCAAACAGACTATAACCCACATGGAATGGGTGAATAAACAGTTTGTTTCTCATTCCATCATAACCCTGGGACACACCCATGAGGAAGTAGTAACTACACCACAGTTGCAGTATGGGAATTGTGAAAGAATAAAATGGCAATCAGTTTTCTAAGACAGGAATAACTAATAATGGAATTAACTTTCTTTACAGCTGCTGGATTAAAGACAATACTGTGTTTTATGTGACCTGCGTTGGGTACTTTGGAATCATGTTTCTCATGAACATTGCCATGTTTGTTGTGGTGATGATGCAAATCTGTGGGAGAAATGGAAAAAGGAGCAATCGGACTATGCGGGAAGAGATACTGAGGAACCTTCGTAGTGTTATAAGCTTGACCTTCCTACTGGGCATGACATGGGGATTTGCCTTTTTTGCTTGGGGACCACTACATCTCCCTTTTATGTACCTCTTCTGTATTTTCAACTCATTGCAAGGTATGTGGAGTTCCCCTTTGAGAAGCAAATGAATATTTTAGAAGATAGCAAATTCCTTTGCACTGTGACTTGAAGCAACATTCCCCCAGTGGCCATGCTGGTTAGGGAAGTTATGGACCAATGCATCTGGAGGGTGCATGGTTGGGAAAGGGTCCTTCTGTGATAACCAGTGTAAACCTATGTTGCACTCAATTAGACGCAACTCCTGCAGTCTTCAATGGGGTTTACTCCAGGTAGCCAAATGGATATACCACAGGTTTTGTGAAGTAGAGCCAACTTTGTCAGAGTCATGCATTGTTACCCTTAGTTTGGAGATAGATGTAAATAGTGAGTGAAACTGCCAAGAAATGTGTAAGAGTTTCTACATCATAATCCCTGGACCACTAGCTGTATTGCTTACATCTGATGCATCTATCCTTTGGAAACAGAGGTGGTAGATTCTGCCAGATTTATGAAGCACCAGTGTCTTTTCTTGTTCCTTTTTTCTTAATTCAAATCTATTTTGGAGATACATTTTATTTTATTTGTGTGTTATTCCATATTTACAACATGCTGAAAAGATTCACCTAACATGTTTCATGTAGCAGAAAAGATTTAATTATTACTTACAGGAGCTGCATATTACAGTTCATAATTAGATATAATAAGTTTATTGTACACAAAACAAAAAAGAAAATTTGCTGTAATGCATTATTATGTTGTAGAACATCCCTTTGGTTCAGTTATCCTGGGGATGGAAGGGAATACTAAGCTGCTAAGTACTATGAAGAAAATTCAGCTGTTTACAGCCTCATATATCAAGGGCAGCGTGATACATGAATCCAGCCTCATGTTGCTTTCCTATTTTTTGGCAGCTTTAGGACAAAACAGTGACTGTAGAAATTTATTTTCCCCACAACTTTCACTTTAGCTATATGGGTAGTGTAGCAGTACAGGGTAGCATATTTTCTACCCATCTCCCATCCCTTTTTTTTTTTTCATTTTTTGAAGGAAAAAATGTTCTAAATTGTAATCAAATGTTTGAATACTAGAAATTACTGTAGGGGCAGGAAGTGCTCATATTTTTAATGTGCATGTCAGACACTTATAACAAAACCAAAAACAGTAAAGAAAATATTAACAATAGTTTACATGAGATAAAAGAGGAGCATATTAATATGTAGGAAATTTATATGTGTATGCATTACTGGTGTATAATAAGGAACTATACTATTGTCAGGCTTCAACAAAAGCAAACCATTTATTCCTATATTTATCCATGCATAGGTGGCATTTGAACACTACCAGTTCAGAGGTTGAAAGGGTCAATAGGTTCTCAATCCACTGAGTTCTCAGAAGAGCCCACTTATCTTTCCAGTGTAATATCAGTTGTTTAGTTCTCATAAGGCTGTGGAAATTCCATTTATGTCAAAAGCCAACTATAACCAAACAGGTGAGCTGGCTTTCAAGAAATCCAATTTTAACAAACTTAGAAAAGTGATAAGCAAAGTCCCATGGCAAGTGACTTTAATGGGAAAAGGAGTCCAAGATGGGTGGGAAATCTTAAAAAAAGGAAATTCTAAGGACACAATTACATAAAATTCCAACAAGGAGAAAGCATAGATGACAACAAAGGAAGCCCATGTGGCTTCACAAAAAGCTAAGAAATTATCTGAAAACAAAAAAGGATATTTATAGGAAGTAGAAGGAAGGTAGAATACAGGAAGGTAGCATGAAATTTCAAGGATGGCATCAGGAAGGCTAAAGCTAGGAATGAACTGAGGCTAGTGAAGGATGCTAAAAGCAACAAAACAGCCTTCTTCAGATATGTCCAAAGTAAAAAACAGGAAAGAAATGGGAGTTCATCTAACTCAGTGCATATGGTAAAACTATAACAAATGACAAAAGGCAGAACTGCTTGATGCCTGTTTGACTCGTCTTCTTCCAAAAGAAGATCTATGAGCTTCTTGATGAAGGGGAAGTACAAGCTGAAGGTGCAGGATGCCAGCTCAAGATTGAGACGCGAATGGTCAAGGATCATCTAGTTCAACTGAATCTCCAAGGCCCAGTGAACATCATTCTAGAATCATGAAGGAACTAGCGGAAGAACTCTCAGAACCACTGTCTCTATGATAGAGGACAAGTGCCACATGATTGGGTCTATTGTCCCTATTTTCAAGAAAGGAAAAAAGTTGAACCTGAGAACTGCAGACCAGTAAGCCTGACATCAATTCCTGGAAAATTTCTGGAGCAAATTATAAAACGGTCTGCAAACACCTTGAAAATGTTTACCAGAAGCCAACATGGATTTCTCAAGAACAAATCCTGCCAAACTAATCTGATTCCTTTTTTTGACTGGGTAACCTCCCTGATGGACTGTGTGAATGCTGTGGATATAATCTAACTTCAATTTAGCAAAACTTTTGACAAGCACCCCTTGATATCCTGATTAGCAAGCTAACAAAATGGGCTTGATGGGACAACTATTAGATGGATCTGTAACTGGCTACAGAATCAAACTCAAAGAGTGCTTACCAACGGCACCTTCTCAAGCTGGGAAGAGGTAACAAGGTGCCATAGAGTTCAGTCCTGGGCCCAGTGCTCTTCAACATTTTTATTAATAATTTGAATGAGAAAATGAAGGGGATGATTATCAGATTGTTCATATGACACAAAACTGACTGGGCTAGTTAATACTCGAAGACAGAATGATGGTTCAAGATTATCTTGATAGAACACTGGGCTGACAACAGGAGAATGAAATTCATTATGGACAAATGCCAACTTCTGCAACTAGAGGGAAAATAACTAAGTGCATCATTACGAGATGGAGAATATTTGACTCAACAGTACTGCAAGTGAGAAGGATCTTGGAATTGTTGTAGAGCACAAACTGAATATGAATCAACAATGTGATGTCACTGCAAAAAGGGCAAATGCTATTATAGGCTCCATTAATAGAAGTATTACTTCCAAAACACATAAGTATTAGTTCCTTTATACTCAGAAATGGTCAGACCTCATCTGTAGTTCTGTGTCCAGTTCTGGGCACCAAGTTTAAGAAAGAAGCAGACAAGCTTCAAGGGGTTCAGAGGAGGGCAGCATGACCATGGGTCTGCAAACAAAGTCCTATGGGGGGAGATTGAGAGAACTGGGCATGTTCTGCCCCAGGAAGATTGAGGGGTGATATGATAGCACTCTACAAATACTTGAAAGGCCGTCACAAAAAAGGAGGACAGGATGTCCTCTTGATTATCCCAGGGTGTAGAACACAGACTAATAGAGTCAAGTTACAGGAAACCAGATTCTGACTAGATATCAGGAGATATTGCCTGACTATTAAGGCAGTATGGCAATCGAACCAACTACCTAGGGAGGTTGTGGGCTTTCCTACGCCATGGGTATTGAAGATGCAACTGGACAGTCATCTGAGAGAGATGGTTCCTGGACTAACAGGGTTGGACTCAGTGGCCTCCTTGGCCTCTTTCAGCTCTACTATTTTGCAGTTCTGTGTTGACCTTCATTGACCTTCTGTCTGCAAGATGCAGATAGATAATTAAGCAGAACATGAAAACCCATAAATGTTAAAAGCTTTTCCAATATAAAATTTATCCAGGTTATGACCTTCTTGCAAAATGAGGCAGCTATTGGACATTGTCAAAACATTGGTGTGAAAGAAGCATTAGCGCACCTCCAGTAGTTGGCCAACTTAGCCAAGCCTTTGCGGAAGAGTTTTTGTAGCATCCAAAATTTATTTATGTATTTAAAATATTTGTATGCTGCCCAATTGTGAGACCACAGCACCTCTGAGCATCTCACAATTACAAGAAAAAACCACGATAAAAACCAATAACACATTAAAAATAAAATAACAAATACAAGCAAAAAATACAAAACAAAGGTCTTATGGCATTAGTCATTAATTTTTTTAAAAGAGGAAGGTCTTTGCCTGGCACTGAAAAGAAAGTAAAGAAGGTGCCAGGCAAATCTCCTTGGGGCAATCATTCCAAATATGGGGAGCAGCTGCAGAAAAGGCCCTCCTCCTGGCAGCCATTCCTCTCACCTCCTGAAGAGATGGCTCACACAGGAGGGCCCCCTACGTAGATCTCAAAGGCCGCGTAGGCACGTATGGGTGCAGGCATTCCTCAAGATAACCAGGGCCTAAGCTGTTCAGCACCAAACAGAAACTTTCAGGATAAGATGTAGCATCAGATGCACTGACATTTGCAAAAGGAATGCTTGTGTAATTGCTTGTGCAAGCTACAAGTATATTATGATTCCATTTGTAATGACTAACCTTTTTTGTTGCAAAATTTCTCCCAGAAGGCTCTAAACCTGTGTCTATGAAGTAAATATGGCACAATTGGGCAGCATACAGATGTTATAAACAAACAAACAAATACTAATAAAGGGGCACACCTTCAGGTCCTCCTTTTCTACTCTGCCTCAAAATACATTCTTTGACTAAAAGATGTCCCCTGTGCCTAAACTCAGGTGTTTTCCTAACTTGTCCTCCATTATGTCAGTGTCCCTTCCTTTGTTACTTGCCCATTTATCTATCTAAAAAGCTCCAGGGCTATTACACCTCATTTCTGCTTTTTTCCAGTGGCTTTGGAATAAGTGCGATACATCATTTCAGTGCTGTTGTCACAGGAACACTTCAGATCTCTTAGATGCAGCTGTCTGAAGCAATCAGGCAGTTTTTCCTCCCGAAAAACTGATCTGCAAAATCAATTGCATTGAAATAAGCCACAAGCCAAAAATTATTCATCAGAGCTTTCCAGGGGCTTGATTTTAATATAGTTGCTTGTGGAGTGTTTATGAGGATGTGTGATGGAATTTGGGTTGCACTCCAAAACCCAATATAATCATTAGAGGATGTGCACTGGAAATCCAATGGTAACTCCAAAACAAATTGAATGTTCGCAGTTTTTCCAAATAATCCAATAACCTTAGGAAATAATGGGCTTCCAGTTTAACAGATGATACAAGTAACAGAGAATATGATTGAGTGAATGAGTGGGCGAGAAAGCTAGAAGAACTAAAATGGAATTGCAGGCTTTCTATATTGTTGAATAACAGCATTAAAAATAAGTTAACAAGTATCAAGGGAGGGTCTATGGCTCAGTGGTAAAGTGCATGCTTTGCGTATGGAAGGTCCCAACTTCCATCGCCAGCTGTTCCAGCTGGGCTGGAAAATTCCTGCTTGAAACTTGGAGAGGTGCTGCTAGGCAAGGCAATAGTGAGCTAGATAGGCCAATGGCCTGATCTGGCAGCAGGCAGTTCCTGTTCCTATGAGGGAAAGCAGACTGCGATTTGATAAGTGTGCCAGTGTATTACAGGGACTCAGCTCATAAACAGTTGTACTACTAGGTTGTGCACATTTTAGCACTCCAGTACAATACAATATGATGCTGATGTACCTGCAAGCACGCAATGCCAAACTAAGTGCTGGACCAGTAAGTAGTAGTATCATAGTTATTTATTACATTTCTAAACCTGTATTTGAAGCTCTCTGGGTGGTTCACAACAGGATATAAAAACAATGATATACAATCAATAAGACAACATTTAAAACATTAGAAACATTAAAGTAGCATTAAAATACTTTAAATAAAATGAAAAAGACCCGGTCATGAAGAAAAGACAGACAGACGGACGGACAGACAGACAGCCCCTGGATGACCAGGGAGATCTTTTAAGAGCTTCTGCTAAGAGGGCTGCCTAACCGGGTACCCAAAAGGTGGCACATTTGGTGCTAGGCAGGCTGCAGCAGGGCAGGGGGGTTGTTCCAAAGATGGGAGACATTGCCTAGCAAATACACAGGCAAGACACTCATTGAAAGTAACTCTCCTGAAACACAATTACAATTTAGTGAGTGCAGTGTGTATATTCCGAAGTAATTTGAATAATATGAACTATTTTGATTGATTGATTGATTGATTGATTGATCGCATTTATATACCACCCCAATAGCCCAGAGGGCTCTCTGGGTGGTTTACAAACAAATGTTAAAGCCCTACCAATCCTAAAATAAACAAATTGGCTACACCACAACATATTTAGTTTTATGGATTTAGGATTCAAGTTATATAAGCAGTATGAGCTTTAACACTGTTCTCAGTGAGTGTCTGATAAATGTAGATAAATAATTTCCCATTACTGATTTATGTATCTGCCTATATTCTAGCATACAAAGGTAACAAATGAAGTGGTATTAATGTCTCCCACTATAAATTCTTGTAGTGATTTTTCCACCTGGAATAGTATAGTTATTGCTACTAAGTGTATCTATCCCTGTGTGAGCCATAGTTGAACTGAACTGTGGCATGCCATGGCAGGAAAAGCCAAAAAATTGCAGAAGTATATTATTTTATGTATATGAAAATGCTGCACCTGAAGTTTCAAAGAGCAAGTCTGCATCTGTCAAAGCAAGTTACATAGGCCTTATTCTTCCATCTTTTTCATGCTGAAGGCCTGCCCTTCCATTGGACAGATTCAGTAAACTCTTCATGTCAAATCGAGGAAGAGATGAACTGGACTGTTAGTTTGCTGCCAAGCAGCTCCCACCTCACCTGTGGGGCTTGATGTCCCATTTCTTCCAACTAGAGAGCTCAGTGGGTTTCATTACATTGGTTTAAGGGAATAATGGATGGATTTCCTTGGAAAATGTGTCTATTCAGACAACGCTTTACATAAGCAGGTGTTGATTTTATCACCTAAGGTGGCACCTAGAATCCAAATCATGCAGCAGGTACCAGACCTGTAAAGTTCCCGAAAGCAACAGTGAGATCCATCAGATCCACTATTCCTGCTTCCAGAATGTAGCAGTGCCAGAGATCCCTCCAGTGCCTCCAGCTTCTAGGAATAAAGGCTGGTCTATACAAAGACCCTACTTGGGACCTTCATAACTATACTTCGTTACTATAACTAGCTATAAGTTTATATATATTGTAGAAGCCTGCAATGGATTAGCTTATTAAAATGGGTAGCGTTCTAAAATTGTCCACTTTCTTTCACAATAATATTAACATGAAATAATAATTTTGAACATCTTAAAATCAGGAAAAGAATGCATCACCTTTATAGTTAGCAAAATTCTCCTAAACTCCATAATTTATTTTTATTATTATTATTATTATTATTATTATTATTATTATTATTATTATTATTATTATTACATTTCTATGCCGCCCCTTGCCGAATTAATATTGCTCCTAGATGTATATGGTTAGGGTCATGTCTTCTGTATAGCCCTGAAGTGCCTAATCCTGGCTAATCATGGAATTAAGCAGGGTCAGGCCTGCTTAGAATCTGGATGAGTGATTTGTTTGTTTTTCAAATTTTATATGCCACTATATAGCCTGACAGGACTCTCTAAGCAGGTAACAATATCAATATACAACTAACAGTACAAGTATAGGGGGAAGAAAGAAGGAAGACTGTTGGAGTAGAGTGAACACTTGTAACCAGGTTTTAAAATTCAGATTTCATGAATAATTGAGTGTATGATTCTCTGATTATTGCTGTAAACTACCCAGAGAGCTTTGGCTATGGGCAGTATAGAAATTGAGGAGGAGGAGGAGGAGCCAAGGCAAATTAGACTGGCAAGCCCCCTTTTGAGAAACCTCTGGATATCCATGTGTAGATCAGGTGTGATCAAGTTAAAAAGTTATTGAGACCTGTATTTCTGTTCTTAGAAATACAAGGCTTAGTAGCTCCTATTGTTTCAGTTAAACTTTGTGTAAATACTACAGCCCTTAATGTCTCAGATGTGAGAGGTGCCTCAGCAACCCACTTCTCTAAGCAGTTGCTGCTGTTCCTTTGGTTTTCCATTCCACTTGCTTTCAATGCTACTGGAATAGCATCACTGTGCAGGTAAGTGCTAGGATTGAAGGGAAAACAGTTTATGAAGATCACTGGTGACTAAGAGAAGAGAAGGGAAGAAGTCAAAGGATGGCTTAGTTGGCAATGACTCAGAAACTCATCAGGCTGGCTTAGAAATGAGTTGACCTTTCCTACAGTTTTGAAGGAAATGGTAACTTCTAACCTGTGGAGTGTGGCCATCACTAATAATCAGGGATTGTATCTCATAACAAATATATGCACAATTTCATGACTCACAAGTGTTTCAGGTAATGATAGTCAGTGTTCATGCTTGTCCAGCTTTTTAAAAATGGCATAACAAAAAGTGGATGTTTTACATATGGAACACAGAATGCTAAACCAGACAAGTCTATCCAAATACAAAAACAGTGTTCAATTCATATGTTAAGCCTTGGACGCTGCCTAATGCCATCTGCCTTAGAAATACAATAAAGCACTAAGAAAATATTTACAGAGTTTTACAATATAAAACTCAGAAATACAATTTTTGTAAAGGCTTTCTGTAGCAGAGTGTGTTAAATTCTTTTTTATTTTTTTCTTCTGCCCATGTTTCAGGTTTATTTATATTTATATTCCACTGTGCCATGAAAGAAAATGTACAGAAACAATGGAGACGACATCTTTGCTGTGGTAGATTCAGGCTGGCAGACAACTCAGGTAATACACATACACGCACACACTTATTCAAATCACATTTATATTTCACCTTTCTTTCATTGTAGAGTCCACCACACTGACATTTGATTGGCGGGGTCTCTCATCCAAATACCGGACAGATGCAGACCTCCTTAGCTCCCACAAGGTTGCTATTTTCTGTGGCCTCAGAATTGTCTGAGGGCTTGGTACCATAAGAGGGTTGTTATTTTAAGTAAGCCCCAGTCCTACTATCTGCTAGAACTTTGTGTATGGTTCCTGAAATGTATGACTCTTCAATGGAAAGCAACATCATATAGCCCTATGTTCTAAGATGCTTCAAAATTACCCATATAGTTTTGTATATGTTGTTTGTGTTTTGGTCCCATGCAGGGAAGTCAGTGTTTCCAAGGCTGGAAAAGTTTAAACTCTCTGAACCTGCCCACTGTGTCTAGAATGAGAAACATTCATGTTTTTGTACTTGGACAGATGGAGATTTTTCTCCAACTTGTTTTTGTGTGGTTGAATAGCTTCTTTTGCATGTTTGAATGCTGGCAAAGGAAAGAGTGTGGCTTATGAGTCAGAGGCATAAAGGATCTTGTTTTTGCAAAAGAACCCCATATCCTTCAGTATAGTCTTGTGTAATAGGAGCCAAAAACAAAAATTGGCTATAACACATTTTTTTAAAAAAATATGAAGTCTACACACGTTCATCATAAACAGTGAATTTCACCCTGTGTTTATGCCCAGGATAAGCTTCACTGTTCGCCTTGTAGTTTTGCACACACTTGTGATTTCAACTACCTTCGTTAAGGGCTGATTGTTGTATGTTGTATGAGTAGCAGGACAGGAAAGCACTGAATAATATGTATAAGTGGTTACAGGGGAAATTCAAGTCATGCACTGTAATATTTGTACAAGGCTAAATCATGGACATATCCCCGGACTTTTGATAGTCCACAGGAGAGATGCATAGTTTTCTTTTAAGCAATAATAAATCCACAAGGAGAAAGTGCGAGTGACTTAGTTTCTGCTTGAGTGCGGGACCCACAGCCCTCTCCACAAACCTGTTTGAAATATCTATGCTCAGAGGCAGTCTATGCTTTCATTCATTTTCAGATTGGAGTAAAACAGCAACTAATATCATTAAGAAGAGCTCAGACAATCTGGGGAAGTCCTTGTCTTCCAGTTCCATTGGTTCTAATTCAACCTATCTGACTTCCAAATCCAAATCCACATCCAATACCTACCTTAAAAGGAACAGTCACTCTGGTGAGTCATATCTGTAATGTCTGGAAGGGTCAATATATCAACCTGCAATCTTTTTATTTGCATTGGCCTGTAATAATTTATTAAGGAAGTTCACAGAAGGAAGCATTTACCACTTCCTCCTCTCTGCTGCAACCACCTGACATCCCCTGAAAAACTTCTCTGTAAAGCAGACTGCGCCTCCTAGACAATGGGCACATTGGCACCAGAAGCCAAGCCACCTTATGAAAGAGCAATGCATTGGGGCTGGTTTGCAGAGCAACCCACAGCACTGCCAGCACATGCTCTGACTTACTGTGGCTTGTTTTCCCACTCATGTTTTTCATAGACCCGTGCCCTCCAAGGCACGGAGAACCTGCCTGCCTTTTCTCCCTCTCTCCATTTGCCATCATTAACAAAAATGGAGCATCAAAAAAGTGCAGCTGTGGAGTTTTTATTTTTTATATTTTTCCACCTCTGAAAATGGCACAACTGTGTTCATAACTTTTAATGAACACATTATAACTTCACAAAAAAGTGGCTGTATGATATGTGTAGTCTTGCCTGGTCAATTTTCATTGTGCATTTTAGCTGTCCGAATGGGGAAGCAGAGTAGGTAACATACATGGAAAGCAGCAAAATGAAATTCTTTTCAATGGATCCTTTGAAGTTACTCCTTTTGCTTCTTAGTTATCTCATCTTGCATGCTATTTTGTTTCAAAGTTCATTGGAATTTTGGTAGGAAAAAACTCTCAAGTCAAAATTATTGACATAGCATTTAGTATATATCACAATCTGTGGCTTATTGGACATATTAGTATGAATCAAAACTCCTAGGTCTGGAAGAACTAAAACACATATTAATGCTTTCTTTAGCTAGGCTATAGGCAATTTTGTATTATTGGGTATGACACAGAGAACAAGCAAGTTCCTTTTTATCTGCTTAGAAACTCCTCGGGACTAATTTAATTGCAGAATGTAAGTTGAATAAATAAATATGTTCATGGTGATATTTTATATGCATCTTTTGAGATATATGGTTTATTTTATACTATTTCATTCCATCTGCAACTAGTAATGATCTGTTTAATGATTCCTCTGCAGCTGATCTATATAGTTTAGTAATTTAAGCCAATGTTTAACCATAGCAGTTGTTAAACTAGTTGCTGTTCCCTGAAACTGATTCAGACACTCATGTGTTTATGGTATAGATAATGTCTTCTAAGAACATTTCTTCATCAGTGCTGGAACATTCAAGGTAAAGTGTGCATCACTTTGGCTGAATGCATGATGTTGGTGTGAAAACACTTGCATGAGGTTGCAGCTGGCACAAGGGACTCTCTAATCATGCATACAGCTTCATGTTACCCTGCGCAACTTCTCTGTCATTGGTTGTGACTGATTCAGCACACAAAAAGGCTTTCAGCTCTTGCTGCTTGTCAAACGCATGGGAAGAGCATCCTCTCAGGTGGCAGAAGCCAGCTTCAAGTCCGCTTTCTCTTCTGTATGCATGCTTCACTGCAGCTGGTCAAGATGGTGGAGTTTGCCTACACTTTCATATCTGCACTTTCATATCACAGCAGCTTATATTTCTAAAATTTGTACCATGGTTCATACCACATGACTACATATTTCTCAGAAGCTTCTGTCTTTATTATACTCCTCAAAATGCATATTTATTAGGCTCCAAAAGGTAATGAAAAAGTCACTACTAAATTGATCCACTAGTAGCCCTAATAACTGCTTGCAATAGGAATTACTGTATTCTGTGGTGACAGATGTTTTCCCTAACTATTTAGGAAGGTTTTAGTTGTAAATTGAAATATGTATATTTCACTTGTGTTTAGTTCAACATGCATTGATTAGAGAACACTTTTAATTCCTTCACTGTACTCAGTGACTGAATATGGACAACTTTTCATGGCTTTTCATGGGTGATTTTATCTATGATAAGCCATTATTACATCATTCTCATTGCCATCATCATCATCTCGTTGATTAATTTCTATACCACCCAATAGCCAGACTTTCCTGGGAGCGCACCGGGAGTTGTTGTTTACAACCACCATCCAAATACAGTCTACAAATAACATTAACAGCATAGAAAGCTCACCATATAAAAATTCAAAACTACTCTGAAAACATACAAAAAACCTCAGTAGCTCATATGGCCTCCTACAGATACCAAATTCCATCTGCAATCTCTCCTTGGGTGTTTTCATGGGGGTGAACCTGGTGAATATGGTTTACACAACAGATAACCAAATGGACCATGGGTCAGGCAAAGGTTATTTAACCACTGCATTGCCCACACTCACTAGGTTCACACAACACGATCCCCAAGTGTGTTTTGTGTATTCAAAATGGTGGCTGCATGGGCTGTAGAAGTTAAATATCAGCAATACTTAAATATTTGCTGTGATTGCCATTTCTGAAGCTTTCCCTCTCTTTCATTAATGGAGCCCATTTCAAGAGTAGAAATAGCATAGGACTGAGCTATAAATAGCATAACTGACTTACTTTCTGTAGAGTTCAAAAAGGGCCCCTTTTTAAATGTATTTAATGATGGAACATATGAAGAAACCTATATGTTTGTTATATAATGAACATAAATACGGAAAGAAGTTGTTAACAATACCTTTCAAAAGCAGCAGGAAAAAAAATGAACCTGAGCCAAAAGCATGTTTGCTGGGAGCAAAAGGCCCTTGGAATTTATTACTGCACATGTTCACCTGCTTTAGCATGCTTGTGCTTTCTTCCATAAGACTGGGAAAAAAAATGTGCAACCTGTTTTTCCTTCACCTTCAGACTAAAAGAAATTACTGTTTTAACTCTTCATTATAGCTTGGCACTATAATACATTCTTTTGAAAAACCTTTATTTTCCTCATATTGAAGACATGTCAGCCCAGGTTTCATATAGTGCCTGGCTTTTGCTAGCAAACTCCATTGAAAATGTGTTCTTTTCAATATATTTCATTATTGTTTTCACAAAGGAAATATTTAAATATTGTGATAGTAATAATTGGAGCTATCACAGAAGTCTTATCCTAGGTCAAATAAAATTAAAATAAATCAAGGCAATTCTTATTTTTTAGATGTTCGTAAGTATAATCTGCTTAATTGAAGAAGTGATTGCTCATTACTTGAGCTCCATCTTCTGGTCATACTCAGGCTAGCAAGACTGTTTCCCAGCATCAATTCTATTGTGCCATTTTTTGTTTGAACCCTAGTAATAGTATTCTGAAGTATAAGCAGGCAGTAGGATTAAATTTGTGTATTTCTTTTAAAAAAGCAAATCTGAACCAAATTTGCATTTAAATGAGATATTTTAAATATATTTTATCTGAAAATATGTATTTTAATGCATTTTAACACATTTTTTAAAAAATCTTGATTGTCAGAACATTCAAGACTTGCAAATACCATGATATTCCAATTGATACTTTAGTCTATGAAGTACACATCAGGTTACATCCTATTAGAATTTGCAGTGATTAAATTCCTCAAGAATCCCTAATCATGACACCGTTAGAGTTTCTATTTTCTCCCTCTCAGTGGCAGCTAAAAATGTGCAGCATAATGGGAACAGACAATGTTATGAGGACAGTGTAGGAGGGGTGATGCTGCATGTTATGGTTGAAAACTCAACTTAGGATGCAAATTTCAGGGGCAGCCCCATTTCTTCTTAAGCAAGGAGTTAAATCTACAGGAGCTGCTTTTTACAACTGTTTTTTACCTAGGCATGGCCAAGGCAGTTTGCCCTTCATTTGTACTTATTAATTACATTCTTATACCACCTCAGTGGCCAAAGTCAGATGGAGGTTTGCAGTGTGAATGCATAAAGAAACTGCAAATGTGGATTTAGTTCCCTTCAGTGAGCACAGATTGATGCACCTAGATCTGGGCCTAAGAGTCCAGAGAAAACATGGTTGATATTAAATGGATGCCTATTGTTAAACATTGTTGATTTTAATGGGATATAAATGCTCATTCAGCATTTATTGCATTGATTTCATGCTGTCCCTTCTAACGTTTTAGCAACTGTGGGAGTGTGAACAGGAGCAGAAGTTAGTTTTCCATATTTAGAATGAAGGACATAGGATCTTGATACCATCATCTGGCCAAAGCATGTTAAGATGTTCTGAAGCCAGTTCAGTGTGATGCAAATAACTTTCTCTCATTCTGAAACTGGCTTTGGGATGTTGTTAGTTAACCAAACCTAATTGTGTGACATTGTGGCATTTCTATCAAATTCTTAGTGTGATTCTCCAAGTGGCTAGGATCGGTGGTCTAGGAACAAGAAGAGAGTAAAGTGGCACTAGAGTAGCATCTGTGGGTTTGTGATGCTAGAAAACTGGCATGACAAAAGATTTGGAAGGGAATGCCTAGATGTCCTTCTTTTGATACTAAAAATATGCAATGGTGAATATTTGTGCAGCATTCATGGAAATTTTAGGACCATTTGTCTGGTTTCAGTAACCCTCTAGAAAATTAACATAGGAATGAGAAAGTGAAATCAAAGTTACTGAAAGGTAAAGTTAAGTTTCAGACTACTTAGGATGAAACAAAGAATTTATGTAACAATATTAGTTATAGGAAGGCAAAGCATTGCAAGGATTGTGTAATAAAAAGAAGCTAAGTGTAACTCTTGGAATTTGCACTAAGGGACTGTCTGTCAGTGGACAAGTGGCATAAAATTTTCAGTGTTATTGACTTCCAATTTCTTTTCCTTTTCGTTAGACAATGTTTTTCTTGACAAGCCTTCACCAAAATATATCCAAGTGGACACAGAGCAAACATCAATCATCCCAGTGCACCAGGTTATTGACAAAGTGAAGGGGTACTATGGTACTCATTCAGACAACTTCTATAGAAACATTATCATGTCAGACTCCTTGAGCCACAGCACAAAATTCTGAATTTCTGGATACACTGAACAAAAGAATTCAGCAAACAGCATGAGGATTTAGAATGATGGATTTAGTGACTGACAAGAAAATAAATGCTACCAAAGCCTTGTGCCTTATGAAATTATATCTTCGTATGTATAGCAACTTTCTACTAAAAGGTGTCCTCCTTTCATCAACTGCTGGGAAAATGCATCTATTTGTTTCCTTACTTGTACACTATTGATATGCTACCATCAGGGCTGCACCCCAGTGGCATATTGGTTGTATGTTGAACCCATCTGTACCTTTGAAAAAATGAAGGTGGTCCTAAAGCCCAAAACCAAAGCTGGTGTTAGAAGAAACTAAAAGTATAATACCAAGCTTTGGATGCAGTGCTCTTAAATATGTATTTCTCTGTATGTCTTACAAGGAGTATAGATCATATATGGAGATGGATGGATCCATTCTCCTTGTGTGTTCTGTGATGGGGTGGTCTGCATCAACTAGGTGAAACAGATTTCATCTCTCCATCTCTGGAAAGTCAGGAGACCCTCTGGAAAATATTAGGCAGGAGAGCCTGAAGTTGCACGGTCTGTTTACACATTGGATAAACCCTCCAGCCCACATCATGCAAGGCAAGGAAATGCTTATCAGTGAATTAATAAATGCATGTACTTAATAGTGCAAAGCAAAGCTGTGTACAGATGAGGTGACTTTAATTTTGTTTGCAAAGTCTGGGCCTTATTTATAACTTGGTGAATGGCAAAAACCTCTTATCAGCTGGGGTGGTGGGAGTGCTTCTCTTGTTTTTGTGCTTGATAAAGAGCTTTGTGCAACATGAACTTTTGAATGGTCTTGGACCTAAAGTAAATTGTCCAATACAACATCTCACTTTTCTGTAATTCCTACTTTTAACCATTATCAATTGAGAGATTCTGTGCCAGATACCACATCCTATGCATGAACCTTCATTGAATACAGTAATGGATGAAATTTATACCTACCCTGCCATATTCAGGATCTCATTATCATCTAAGGGTTACATTCATGGAAGCACCAGGCTGGAACATGAGCAAAGACTCCTCTGCTGATTCCAGCTCTTGTCCATTATGTGCCTAGACTACATGTGTCTTGGCTATTGGAGGAAGTAGTGCAGTCCACTGCTGTGCATTCACCGACCAACACATACAACAGGGTGCACATTCACACATTTTGCAAGTGTGCTAGTCAAGAAGTCCATGTGTACTCAGTTGGCTCAGTCCACCAAAAGAATTGAGGCATTCACACACACTTTTCTATTTTATTGTTCTGTAAAACACAGGACTCATATTACCGTCCTTGGGAAGCCTGCACAAAAGCATTTACATTTCTTACCTACATTTATATATAATGTTCTGAATTACAGCCTATGGTTGCAATAGATATACTTAGATGTACAGAAGTCAGTGTGCGTAATCTTTCTAGAAAATGTATGTTGTGGTATTCATTGTTGTTTAATCTTTGCAGAAGATGTATGTTGTGGTATCCATAGTGGTTTATATAAATTTTCCACTGGACTAATGTTAAAAGGGTTAAAAGAAATTTCTACCAGTCAGAGGCAAAGCTTGATACCAGGTTTGCCACTCCTCAGTTCCCTTACTATAACCTTTCCAGTTTTACTTCCTTGTTTAGTTCTTCAGAGATTTACTGCACAATCATCTACATGTCTGACCAATAAGATTTACTCTAAGTCCTGCAGGCCCAGGACTTACTAAGTGGTCAGTCACACATTCCATCATGTTAACTGTTACTGTTCTCTGCATGTGCTTCCCTTCAATATAAATTACGAGATTTTTACAATCAATTGCAGAACTTCCTTTTGCATTACATCTGCTTAAGAATGAGGACTTTTCATGTGAGTAGCTCAGACTTGTACAGAGGTCACCTGAAATAGGAACCATTTTCTGGCAATAGTGACCCATGCCTTGATTACAATATGGTTAGACTATTGCAATGGACTCTGGGGCTCCCCTTGAAGACTATTCAGAAGGTTCAGTTGGTGCAAAATGTTGCAGCTAGGCTGCTAATCAGTGTATAGTACTATGGATACACCACCCTTATACAGAAAGATCTCCATTGATTGCCAGTTTTCCAGGTTCGATTCACGGTGTTGGTTTTAAGTTTGAAAGCTCTAATTGCTGCATTTCCTGGCTGTCTGCAGGACCATCTATCTTGTCATGTACCTGCACACTTACTAAGCCAGGCACACTCACTCTTGCAGAGGCCTATTTGCTGAGCATGCTGGAAAGAGCTTTCTCCTGTGTTGTTCCCAAGCTCCAGAACAGGCTCCCTTTAGAATTAAGTCTTGTCCACTCTGTGTTCCAGAACAGGGTTAAGGCATGTCTTTTTCACTTGGCTTTTTACATTGTTATAGTTTATGCTAGGAGTATTTTTAATGTTTTACTATGTTTTTATTGGATTTAGGTTTTTATTTTCTGAACTTTTTGTAAATTGTCTTGGTTTGTTTTGGTAAGTCAGTATAGAAATGCAATAATTTAGTCCTATTTAGAATTCAGTTGAGCTAAACTGGGGTGAGCAACTTGTGACTCTACAATGTTTGGGCCTACAATTCCCATCATCCTTCACCATCAGTTATGCTAGCTGATGGAAGATAGCTAGTTGCCTGCCTTTACCTAAGCTAAGTACTGCATCCCAAATGGATTGTGGATCTGAATGTGAACTGACTTCTCATGATATCAAATTATGCAGAGTCTGATGTAATTAAATATTTCAAGGAGAGATAAGAACATTTTGTATGTGGACCCTGTATATGAGCATCTCCTTTTTAATAGTTTTCAGAAAGCTTTAGTGTAATATTTCCTTTAGGTTAAAAATAGAGGTCAAAAAAGGGCAAACAAATGTGTCTGAAAAATTATAAATTAATACAATTTAATAAGGCTTGAGTAAGGCTTTAGAACAAGTAGAATTAGCTATTGCCTGACTATTATTGTACAGTTTGCCTATATTTTCACTAAATTAAGGCTATCTGTTGCTTTTACTACCATGTAGTAGTCTTAAACAATTTCAGTCATACAGTTTCCACTGCTGTTTCTTCTGTCACATATGTTTTCAGTGTAAATCCATGGTTTTCGTGTTGGCATAGCACCTGCCTCCCTTGTATATACTTATTTATTTTTGAGGTTGAAATTATGCCAGCATAGTGTTTAGCTGCATACTGGCTAATCTTGTGATATATTCATCCATTTCACAATAGGAAAGGAAGAAAACTCATGTCAAATATATATATGTGAATTGTATTTTCTATGTGATGTGTATTGTGTATTATATTGTTTAGCAGTATGAGGGAAATGGTGATGTAACTTCAAATCCAAGTTATAAGGAACTAGTGAAGGAAATATAGAGTCTGACCAAACCAGAAATATGAAAAAGTACTCCAGTAGTTAGTATTCTGAACAATTAAAGGTTAAAAAATTGTGAATGTTTCTCGGTTTCTTTGCAGCTGAACAGCAGAATCTTTGTTGGGATGCTGAGGAATCGCCAGCTGTTTAGAAAGCCTGCATGCCCTGCATGCCTGCATGCAGCCAGTATTGCGGAAGCAACGGTGCTAGACTGAATGCAGTCTTTCGAGTACATGGGGCAATCGTACAGCCATTACCTGGGAGGCCATGGGATTATTTGGAGGCCCTGCTCTGCTCTGGCATTCTCAGAATTGGGTCTCAGAAATCCAAGGCCATCCTTTGCCCCCCCCCCCCATTGCAGCTGGTGCAGAAAGAACGGCACTGGCTGCCTCCCAAGGTCACAACTGGGTCTGGGGCAAGGAGGCATGCTGAGGGTGGAATGAAGGGAGGCTGGGGCAGTAGATTCACACATACTCCCAGCCTTGTTCCTTCCTCCTCCCTGATGCTTTGAAAACGGCAGTCTAGATAAAATACCCAGCACAGGGGTGAGGGCATAGGATGCATAGAAGCCAAGCCTCAAAGCTTCCATTTCCTGCACTGGGGATGCAGCACACAGGTTTGCACTCTAGGTTTTGAGATGTTTTTCTAGGCAGCATAGTCCAACGTTATGCCTACTGAACACATGGTTCCCCAATTACAACCAGTCTTGTTGGACCAGTGGGGATGCAAGTAGACCTCCAGCAACAGCCACACAGTGTTCTCTTTGGTTTGCCTAAACACGTTTAATTACCCAGGCATGTAACCCCAGCCCTGCCTCTGCAGTCCCGGTGGGTCTCTTAAATGCTGCTTAGGAGCAGACCTGGGGTAGAACTGCCTAAGCTGGGATCCTGGTTGGTGCTTCAGCAGTTCAGTAAGGTGGGCATATTTTCTTGGCAATAGCTGCACGCCTGTGAGTTGGGCCCAAGCACAGTGCGGAATGATAACAGTCTAAATCCTGATACAATTGTATATGCATGAAACACAAATCTTAGCGCCACTGTGCTTGAGGTTTTTTTCCAAAGGCTCAAAGAAACCACTTTGCAAGAACCCTGAGGTATAAGACTGAGAGATCGTGAGCTGCTTAAGCATCTGCTCCTCCAGTCAATGCTGGAAGTGAGTCAGGCTTGCACCTGGCTTTCCTCTATTCTGTGCAGCTTGTGCTGTTGTATCATACGGGTTCTCTGGGCAAGAACAGAGGCTGCAAGCCAGAGCTCTGAAAATGTGCCAATAACTAAGCAAATGGAGCTCTTGCATGCCCAAGTGAAATTTCAGTGGTGACACAATTTATTCAACATGATAGTGAGCTTTTCCACTTGAATTGGAGAGCAAAATTGTTGCCTGTTAACAGGAGGCTCCATGATGCCACTGGAATTCCCACATTCGTAAAGAGCAAATCACTAATGGTCAAAGTTCACACAGAGGTAGTGAATGCCACCAGAACATCTAACATCATTGCAGGATCAGATGCTACTGATCCTGCAATACCTGGTATCACTGGTATTTTGTTTCCTTTGTTCGTTTTGTTATTTTCCTTTGTTCATTTCATAATGGGTGTGTAACTGAAACACTAGATAGAATCAGAAATTTTGTTCACTCTACTTTTGGCAGATAAATATCTTTTCTTTAGGAAGACACACACCTTCTCACTTGTAGCCAGAAGAAAAAGGTTTACTGCAGCCAAGCTAGCTGACACCAGCTCCAATCAATGGGAAATCAAATCGCTGCCACCAGCAATAATTGATGGATCCAAACCAAGACTTTTCTCATAATGGCTTTCTGTGCACAGCAGAAGAAGAAGCTGCTGTAGCCCATGGATGGACTTCACAATTTGAGAGCCTGGGGTAAAATAGTATTCTGCCTCATGGAAGCAAGATAAGGATAGGTGGTGATGAATGTCAGCTTTAAGAAGCAACTTTAATGGAGTGCCACACAAAGTGATAGATAATGCTCAGATTTTGGGACTGTTGTGTGGATTTAAGAAGGGAATATTTGGCAGAAGACAAAAAAAGAACTGGGATCTGGAAGGAACTTCTGATGTGAACAAAATGAAGCACTTTGGTAAACATTTTGCTCACCTGAAATGCACCCCCTTGGGCTTTGTTCTCACACTCCTTTCCTTTGGGGAAATGGTGCAAAATGTGTTTTGCAAAGGGATGAAAACTGAGGGAAAGAGGACTTACTGCCAAGACAACTAGGAAAATAATCCGTTGCACTCTTCCAGTCATGCACAGTTGTCCTGTTGGGACAGGGTGAGGGTGCACATTTGGATACATGTTCAAAGGAACATCCATTGAAAGTAGATGATTCAAGTGGATCATACTCGCATGCAGATGCATATCCTAGGAAGCTATTACCAACCTATACTGCATCATTTCCCAGAGGGATGTGTTTACAGGCATGTCCCCATCCACGTTCTGTGCAAATATGCATGAGTAGAGCCAGATTGGAGCTGGATTTTGTGTCTTCCTGTACACAAAAATGCCAGTCCAGTGTGGCAAGGCAGAGATTTATTTAAAACTTTTCTAGATCGTCCCATTACCAAAGGAGGTCAGTTTAACAAGATTATCAGCCTGGTTGCTTGCATCATGGGGGTCCACTCCCATGACCTCCTCTCAAGGAATCAATAGTTGGTGTTTCCAGTGGCTGTACCGGTGGATTAAATTACAGAAAAGTAGAGCATATGTTTTTTCAAATGCCTTCATGCCCAAGAAAGGCCACTTTTTGCAATAAAAGCTGAAGCCAATGAGCACTCAGCACAGCACTGATGGTGCTTATAGGTGGTAGGAATGGGACATTGCAGTAGACGGCCTGGGATGTCACTCAGTAGTTCAGCAGGGAGAGCTTGGCTGTGCCTGGCGGGCAAGGGCTGGTGCCTGATAAACCTGGGATGGACCAAATTCCAAAAACTCTCAAGCAAGCCCAAAGATAGCCTTTTCTCTTGTCTCTGGGCTTCCATTCTTTGTGTGACTGTGAGGTTTTATTTATTTGCAGCATTTGTAGATCATATTTTGGCAGATCCTGGAGGAGTGAACAAGAAAAAGATAGGACAGATAAAGCAATAAAACATTTCATTAAAAACTGTTAAAAGTGTAGCTGGTCAGGAGCAAAGACATTCTCAGCAGGCATCAAAAGGGGGTGGGGAGTGGGCAGGAAATTCTATAGAAAGGAGTCACCACTCTGAACTCTCCTGTTCTGGTGGACTCTAATCAGGCCATCAGTCCATTGGGAACTATCAGGAGAATGTTGTCCGATGCTTCAGTGACCAGGCAGATTGGTAAATGAGTCCCAAGTTGTATAGGGCTTTGTAGGCTGAGGTAAAGATGAAGTACCTGAAAAAACGCCCGGCCCTGAAATCTAACAAAGAAGTAAACCCCAGCCATTTTAATGATACATAATTTTGAGCAAGTATTTGAACAAGCAGGTAAGGATTGTAGTTTAAGTTTCCATAAAATGGCTATTGATTATATTGTTGATATTCTGGAGAGAAATCACAGGGAGTGCTGTGATCAAAATCATTATCCCCGAAGCCACAGAGGATGTCTAGCCACTGTCAAAGGAGGCTGGGTCGGTCTTTGGTCTCACGCTGTTCTGTTCTTATGAGCCACTGTTATAATGGGACCTCCAGTCCTCAACATCTCTTGTAGTAGTCATCTCTGATCTATCTCAAAGTATATTTTCCACTCTCCAAAAAGTTTAAAGTTTTTATATCTTCCAAACACAGCGGCCCAAAATCTTGGGTCTTCACCATCCCAAAGACAGATTGTACATGTATTATCAATTCATTTCCCCCACCACCCCTGTCTGTCTGTTCAGAATCATGGCGCCGTGCTCTTAGTGGCTGGCGATGTGTGAGCATTCCTGCATTGCAGTAGTTCTCAGCATGTCACTGAATAAAAACAGGTAGTATCGTTGGCTCTCTTTCCCAGAACTTACCAACAGAGGGCAGTGTGGTACTGCTATTAAGAAAGCACCAAAACAACCAAGAAAAACTTTTCTGAATAGATCTGTAGATATAAGGAGCATCCACAGGCAGAGTAATCTTGATCCCTATTTCATGAAACTGCAGCACAACATAAAACTTAATTGTGTACAAATATGTGGGTTTTGGCAATTATCTGTGCACATTTGGAAACCAGGGCCGCTGGAAGAACATTTCTGTCTGCTTGATCTGTAAGGATCTCCCACACTAGAGACATTCAGAAAGAGACTGGACAGTCACCTGAGTGGGATGGTGTAAATTGATGTCCTGCAGCAAGAAGGCCTTCTTGACCCCTTCCAACTCTCTTACTGTTCTGTAATTTTGTGATTCTATGACTCATGAAGTACCATTTCACAGAATGATAAAACAGTAGAGTTGCAAGAGGCCTAGAAGGCCATCAGCTCCAGCCCCCTTCTCAGAGCAGGACTCTGGCTTAAACTATCCCGCTCAGGAAACTGTCCAGTGGCATCTTGAGTGCCTTTAGTGTGGGAGAGCCCATGACCTCCCTCAGTAATTGGAATCATTGTCATATTGTTGAATTGTTCTAATGTGACTCTAAGTTAAGCCATTTAGCCACTCCAGCTTCACAGCTGAAGTGACAGATAAGACCACCAACAAATTAAGCATACCAACATACAATGCTGTGCTGTCATACCTTGTCCAATTCCATTTGAGATCAATTTGTGCTGCATTTTATCATCCCCTATTTCAGAAAAAATATGAGAAAAAACCTGGAAAAGGAGGTTTCTTGGTAGCCTATCAGGGTAACTCGAGTTTCCCCTTCACTTCTTTGAGAGCCAGACATGGTTATGCTATGAAGCCAGAGGGTACAAATAAGGACACTGCTTGACTAAACAAACAATTTTCAAAGCATTCCAAACAGCACTAAAGGGAGAGCAGCCAAAATCTCACCAAAACACCATTGGAAGCTTCTGCTCATTTTTAAAAGCATGCTGGATCAGACCAAAGGCTGGCAATCCAGCACCCTGTTTCCTGCAGTGACCAATCTGAGGCCTGGAGGAAGCCCAAAAGCAGAAAGGAGGGCAAACACAGCCATT